ATTCTCGTTATACTTAAAGTAATAAATAAAAATTAAATAAATAGATAATAAAAACTGAGAATATCAACATTAAAAACTTCAAATAATGCTTTCCAAGCACGTAATACAGATGCTGTGTCTTTAAAGTTGACTGTAGTGCCTCTCATGTAGCCTTACTTCTTTTAAAAGGAGTCCAATTATCTTGTCCATACTTAGAAATGATAAAGATCCTTGTAAGGAGAAACTACCAGGAATCTACATCATTCCTATACACAAGAACAGGATGCATTAACAATATGAATATATTGGAGCAACATACAGATCATTGAATACTAGCATCAAGGAACATGTCAACACAGTAAAAAGTGTTTATGCACAATAGCACTTGTAGTATTTGCCTATGACAACAATTTGAGATATCTTTTGATGAGGAACACCTACTATATCACATCTCTGTTCCAGCACATCTTAAATATTTAGAAAGCCTGGAATTCTATAAGACTACCATGAGAAGCACTGCAGTTAACTTTAAGGACATAGCATCTGTATCACATGCTTGGGAAGAATTATTTGAAGTTTTTAATGTTGATATTCTCAGTTTTTGTTACCTATTTATTTAATTTTTATATCTTATTTTTTTCTCTTATGTTTTTATTTATTTCATATATTTTAGTCACTTATTAATGTAATTATTATTTGTAATGTTATTATTTAATGTAATTTTAGGCTACTCTACCAGACATGTCACCAGCTCCTTATGCTTAAATTTAACAAGTTCCAATATCTTTCAAATTTTGTATTTTTTTTGCTCTATATTCTATGTTCCATTTCAAAACCTAATGATGACTGTCAAAGATAATCAAAAATGTTTGCTGTAATAATAAATTTTGCCNGTAACATTGCTCAAATAATCTGGCAATAGTTTGGCTTTAATATATAACTGTGGGTTTAACACCTTTATATTCATATTTTTATTTTTATTATTTAATGTAATTTTAGGCTACTTTACTATGCATGTAACCAGATCCTTAATTAAGCTTGAATTTAACAAGTTCCAATATCTTCAAATTTTGTATTTTTTGTTCTGTATTTTATGTTCATTTCAAAACCTGATGTTGACCATCAAAGATGGTTAAAAATGTTGTTGCAGTAATAAATTTTGCCTTTTTATTGGATTTCTGGTTTTTTGGAGTTGATTTTAATATTCACATCCAGTTTTTTGATACAACTATGATGCTCTTTAACTTTGCCATCGAAACTTTTACATTATCTGTGTTCATTAAAAAGTTACAATTCAAGGCCATCAAATAGATCATCCAATTCTGCCTACATGATTTCCTACAAGTTAATAAATTGATAAACACTTAAAAATGATGCCAAATGAGTACAATTAATAAATATATACATACTGTCTTTTGGCATTAATATACCTTAATTCTGATGCACAAAAGTACTTTCAACATTATATAAAATTTTGTCCTTTTATACATTGTCTCATATTCACATCACATTGATTTTCTTATGTTCAGAAACAACTTTATAAATTTTGTTCTAAACTTGTCCTGAAAGTGTGAAATTCAATTAAGAACTCCTATTTAAAACTGGTTAATAAATTAGTTACATTTTTGTTCTTAAAATACTTTATATTTTCATCTGAGGAGGACATTTACACAATGTTGAAAGTAATTGTGTATATTAGAATTAAGGTATATTAATGGCAAAAGACAGTATGTACATATTTATTTATTAAATGATTTTCCTACATAATTACATTAAGAAAATTAATATATTGTCAGTACTTTTGGAATGAAAAGGATGCAAATCAACTTTTTACTCATCCTGTATATATTTAGTATCTTGCAATTAAAAACATCTGACAAACTAACTTTCTATTAGCTTCCCTATCAAAATACTTATCAAAAAATTGGTGATAGAAATGACTAACTGTGTAATTTTATTTTCTATGTGTACAAGTATAATTTTTATTTCTGCTAAGATATAAGAAAATTTCATACTATTTATGAAATTTGAGTACTCAATAAGAAACATTTAATGTTGCCAGATATATTTGAGTTCATTCCACAACTCATTTCTATATTAAATTATTTTTATTAACTATTAATAAATTAACTTTATTGAAGTATAACAAGTTATTTTGCTTCTATTCAAACTGCCAAATTATTATCAGGCTATTACAAGACTAGTCTGATAATAATTTGATAGTTTTGTGAATAAAAATACTTCAATAAATCTAGTAGTCAGTTGTGTTTGAAGTTGCATAATAGTTTTTGAAGTTTGTTACATTAGTTATTTCTAAAGCATTCTTTAAACAGTAACTAGAAACATAATATGAAATTTTTAATATTAATTCCACAAGCTGTTTTTCCTGTAATATCTCAAAGAAGATAAAAATGTTTAAATATTTAAATAAAGTATTGTATATCCTTTTTTCTATTACTTCAATAAGCAGACCATATCATTTACAATGCAACCAGGGATACATTTCAGAATCAGTGAAAACGGGATCTAAAACTGATTGAATTTCAGTTATTTTTTAAAAGTTTATTTATTTATTGATCTATAAATTAATGATATACAGGGTGTATCAGAATGACGTTTTAAAAATTTGGGAGATTGTAGAGAATGGAATTTCGAACGTTTTGATATAAGGAATCCATAGCCGGAATTTGATGTATGCTGATGTAGGTGTCTTGTATCCAAGCTATGTATTTAAATATGTTCAAATATAGAAATTTGCAAACTTCCATTTAAGAATTTTCTATTTGTAACAGTTGTATTCTGCAAAATGTCTAATTAGTCAAAATGTTTAATTAACATTTTCTCATCATAATTAAATGTTTGAGTGTTAATGATTTATTTATTTTAACTACTTTAATATATTGTGTCAAATTTGAAACAATCATTCTAAAATATAATTTGTAATTGTTAAAAAACCAATAATTATATAATAAAAAAATTTTATTAATATTACAAAATTTCAGAAATAGCATTGAATACATACTTGATGATTCTTTACTGAAACAATAAAGAGAATAACAGCAACTTCCTGACCAAATAATCCAATAAAAAATTTCAAGTTTCATTCTTCATATATATTCTAAACTAAAAAAAATCAATACTTTTCTATTCAATTATCTGCAAAGGCAGAGCTGAATAATCAATACTTTATATTAAAAATAATTACCATAAAGAGTAGCATAACAAGCCAATACTTTATAAGGTCATAATTATGAAAGTTGATAATATTTCTTGTTTATTTAGAATTCACATTACGTAGCAATTCCTTATCTATTACATAATCTATATCTATTAAACGCAAAATAATTCTTTATTTAGTTGTCTTAACTTCATAATGTTACAAATCGCATTAAAAAAAACACGTGATTAAGTCCTTAACACACACAAAGTACTGAAATTATTTAATGCCAACTGTAATGTTCATTAAGAATATTCTAAATTTCGCAGGGTAACTATGATGAATTAGCTTTTTTTTTTTTTTCTTAGAATCTAACTTATAAATCAACTGAAAGATGAAATTATTTTAAATTCTTGTCATCACGTGGAAAACACGATGATTTTTTAGCAGCGCCATCTCTCACATTTCAACTAAAAATATTTTCAAAAGAATTTATTTTGATTGATTGCTAAAAGCAAAACAAGACGTAGATAATTTCTCGTTAATTAATAATTATATTACATATTAAATATTACACAGTTGTATCTACTCGAACTGCTCCGAACTCGAACAATTCGTCATTCGAACACGTGTTCGGGGGAAAAAAACATCGCTAGGTATTCGACAGAACTAACCATCTGCTAAAACAAATTTTCGGTTAATACAAACATTTCTATTTTAACTTTAATTTTTTCATCCATAAAAAATTTTTTATGATAAAAATGAGTAACTAGCTTAAAACAAAATGAAAACCTAGAGTGTCCCCCCCCCCTTTTTTAAACTCTTTCCGCTCTGTGGGCACTAAGAGGACCTCTTTTAGCAAGCCCATTATGGATTTGGCCAGGCCCAGAATGGGGCTGCCGGGTGGTGAGAAACGGAGCCCAGACATTACCATCCCTGAAAAATTCCTGGGGATTTTTCGACCCGTCCGGATTCTATCCCGGGCCCAGAGCAATAGGCTGCCACCTTGGCCGCTCAGCCATTCGGCTAAACAATACGTGCTTGTGGCACATTAAGATTTGTTGCAAGTTCACGAGTTTTTTCGTCGATTTTTAACAATTTCTTCTTACAAATTTTCTTTGTCGATAGTTTTTGAGCGCGCTTCCGATATGTAACTTTTAGTTCAAAATTTCTAAACTTTTAAAACCACACTTAATTAACATGTTTGAAGCTTAGGTGCATCTTCCCCATACATATTACAGATATTTTTAGTTTCTGCAGCGTTATATCATGAACGTCCGCAGAAAATTTTCCAGGAGAAGGCAAAGCTTGGCGACAAACAATTACTGTATTTAATTTTTTTTTTTTTTTTTGGAGTTTTTTCACAAGTACAGTAGATTTACTGTACAGTACTAGTAAATTCACAGTAATTTTACAACTGTTAAAATTAAATCACACGTGATAAGAAACGACAGCTATTAAAAGTACGCAAAAGTTTTCTGTTCACCCAATTAAATTAATAGGAGCATTTTGCCACTCTGTATTGTGTATGGCCTGGTTATTTGTTTGTTTTTATGGTTTATGTATGCTTGGTTTGTAAACATCTTGCAAAATTTGTTACATTCTAGTTAAAATGCATTTTAAGTGTATTTTTAGGGTCTAGAAGGGATTCATCTAATTTATATTATTCCTTATAAAGCAAATTCATTTTGTACTCGAACAGCCTTCTAGAACGAATTGCATTGTACGGCCTTCCTCTTTTTCTTTTACTGAAAATAAATTTTTAGTATGGTAACAGAATTGAAAGCTATTTCTAATCATAAACGCAATTTAAATGCTTTTAAAATAACTTTAAAGTTATATTTTATAAATTAATAAATATTTTTAAATAAGTTTTAAAAACGATGCACTCAATATTTACAAATTACAATGTAACAGAAAAATTGATAGATAATAAACATAGAAAATTGCTAAAATTCTAAATATTAATTGAATTATATTGTTTCCAAATCTGGAAACAGTAAACGACAGTAATTTTATATACAGTCGACCCCCCTATAACACTGTTGATAATTCCGTTTTATATGAATTCCATGTTGTACGAGTCATTTAGATTTTACAAATACGTAAGCCGTTCACAGCCCGGCACACGTATTTGTAAAATCTAAGTGACTCGTACAACATGGAACTCATATAGTACGTAATTATCAACAGTGTTATGGGGCCGACTGGTATTTAAATTTCTGCTGTAAAATTCTAGTTGTATAAACTTACACTTGTGCTTCGTGAATGCTGAAAACAAGATTTATATTATGACTTCCATACGACTAATATGATCTTGCGCTCAATATCACATGGACAGTTTTAAGAAGGATGCACACATGCAGCGCGGCAAGGAAAAGCTGTATCGCAAACGCATCTTCGCCGCGCGGCAGCACAACCATACAGCGGCAATCCGCTTACATTTCGGCGCATGCGTTCAGTATTCAAGATGGCGAACGATACTGACACTGCCACTATCCACGTGTTTACAAATTTTTTGTACGGCTTGCTTTATTTAGCCAGAAGATTTTGTCGAAGATTCGAACGAAGATATTGGATTAGAGATATTTTCTTGGATCGATAAAGAACTGGCGTACAAAATACGCTTATTCCTCGATTAAGAACTCTCGATAAAGAATACTATTTCGAGTAAGATTCGTTTTTTTTTTTTTTTGTTCTTTGAATTAAATTATATATGATTATTTGTGTAAAATTTGTGTTAAATTTATTATCCTTTCCTCTTTATTCTGATGTTAGTTATCTCAGTTAACCTCGTCGAACTTTCCGCCATTAAAACACCACGTGATTGTATTTTCTGACGTGACTACCAGACGAACTGCTATTGGCTGATAGAAACACGTCTTGGCGACGGTCTCTGCGAAATATAAATTCAACAGACTTGTGGCACGCACAAAATCAACTTCTGCGCCGAGAAGAAGTGACGTCATTCTGCCGCTTTTCCTTCTTCTTCTTCTTTCTTTCTTATTAATATGGAGACTCTAGCCTATTGGCTTTTTCTCCGAATTACTCCGCTTGGAATTTAGGTGAAGCGGTTGGTGCGGTGAACGAAACGCTCCAAGATTTCGATACGTTGGCGGGGAGGAAGGTCTGTATGAGGCCAGTATATCGGAGTTAAGGTGCGGACGATCGTGAGGTCCAAGGTTAAAAGACGGCCTAGCTCTTGGCGGGCCCGTGTGTATTTCGGGCAGACAAGCCAATAGTGTGCGGAAGTTTCTGACGAGCCACAGTGGGGGCAGTTTGGCGAGGCGCTTTGGCGTCGAGAATAGAGGAAGTTGTTCAGGGGGGCCGTATCTGTTCGAAGTCTAGCCAATAGGGTTTCTGTGTGGCGAGACGAGGCGTCATGGTATATCCGCTTTTCCTTGCCGCGCCGAATGTGTAAATACTCCTTTATTGTGACGTCATGAATGTCGTATAAATGTGCGCATTGCCTGGTAAAGCGGCTTTGATAAACAGTGATACCTCGGTTTTCGTCGATAATCCGTCTGAAAACAATCGGTGAAATCTGAAACCGACGAAAACCGAGGCAATTATTTCCATATGAATCAATGTAAATTCAATTAATTTGTTCTAGACACTCCAAAATACATACCAAAAACACATTTTATAAAGAGTAAATAGAGTGTTTAATACTGAAAACGATAAGAAATTAATATAAAATGAATATAAAAGACTAATGTAAATAATAAATGAACGTTTAACATGATATTCAAAAAGCTGCTGGCTGTGGAAACTTTCATTGGTCCCATGATGAAGCTAAAAGGGAAGGAAACAATGGAATTGTTTGGCTTTTTTAAACTCTTTCTGCCCTGTGGGCACTAAAAGGGCCTCTTTTAGCAAGCTCATTATGGGTTCTTCCAGGCCCACAACGGGGTAGCGGCTGGGGTGAGTGATGGGGCCCTACATATCTGGATGGTCCACTCCTGAAAAATTCCTGGGGATTTTTCGATCCATGCGCATTAGATCCTGGGTCCCCCAGAGCAGTAGGCTGCCACCTATGACCACTCGGCCATCTGGCTGTCATAAAGGAGTTGTTTGACTAAACATAAGGGGAGGTAATTCTCACACAACGAGAAACAACGCCACACTGAGCAGGAAAATGCGTGGATTGCCCTTTGTTTTCACAAAATTGGCAGTAAGGTCACATCAGCATGCCAAAGAAATCTGAGACAACCAACGAAAACCAAGACAAATTTTTTGTGAAAAATCGACAATAACCGAAGTCAACAAAAACTGAGGTATTACTGTATCTGGATAAGTAAACCAATGATATACAGTGGATGATCGGTTAATGAACAGTTTGGATAGCGAACAAATTGGATAACGAACACTTTTGTGAAAGATTTTTATGGTCGGACAACGAACACTTTAATGAACAAACATAAAAAGAAGTGACGGAAAATAACGAATACTGATTGATTTTCCCTTGTCTTCAGGTAACAATTCGAATCCTTTCAGAGCATGGGAGACATCAACATTGAGCTCAACCCGATACCAATTGGATAGTATCCCTCCGAATTTTGAAACTCTCCTTTGTAATTCCAGCTTTTAGTTTACCTTTCTGACAAATAATTTTTTATAGTCTTTGCAAGACTGTTGGACGGACACTTGTTAAGTTTTGTGTCAGGGTTTATTTATGAAAGGTGAAAGTTTAACTGTCCCATTGGATATTTGTTAATGTTTTAATACCAAATTTCGAATTTCATCTGGGCCTTGCATTTAAATAATTTTTTGTAGGCTAGTTGATTTCTGTTCTCTGAATTTTTGTAAGTGCTTTTCTGAATTTTTTATTTAAAAAAGAAACTGATAATATTATGGAGTCTAAAAAAAAGGAGTGTTAAGAACTGTGCTCACCATAGAAACCGAGTAAGAGATAATAGCCAAGGTAGAAAGTGGACACAAAATGTCTGATGTTGCTAGGCAGTATGAACAGGTCTACAGTAGGCACAATCTTAGCTATGAAAGATATATCAAGAAGTCTCAAGCTGCTAATGGAGTAATGAAAATCACATCTGAGAAATAAAAAGCATTTTAGAGCTCATAATGGAACCTGAAACTGATCTGACAACAGAAGAACTCCAGGGATGTCAGAGCAATGATCATCCAAGTGGCATCCAAACCAGAATAAGGTTAATGGGGTTGGGAATCTCTACAAATACAATGCTATTACTTCCAAAAAATCCTGAAGAAAAGAGAAAATCAATTGACATTGGACAGATTCTTTAACCTCCACAAACGGAAAAACCATGACTAATAAAAATGCAAGACTGCATATACAGTGGTGCCTTGTATAACGTACTTAATCCGTTCCAGGTGCACATCCGTTAAGTGAAAAGTCCGTTATACAAAATGCATTTTCCCATAGAAATACATGTTAAAACATATAATTCGTTCCACAGCATAAAATAACCATACTGTACCATAAAAAAAATGAAAATGGAGCAGTCACCAATTATGCCAGGTAGTCAGATGTTGTGAGGAGGAGGTGGAGGAATACTTTCTTCATACATTCATACAGATACAGACTTTTTACACATTGCAGCAGGTCTCTTTTTATTGTTTTTTTAATCTGAGTCAGATTCGGGAGAGGCTATTGGAGCTTGCAGGGTCAGCTCCTCTTGTTCCATCCTTTGTTTTTTGGCAGCTGGCTTCTTGAAAAACATGTCCAAGGTGGTCTGTTTCTCTCTTCTTCAACATCTGTTGGAAATGACGGGCAAGGGTGTCATTGTAGAGATCATTGATCCTGTTGGCCTCAGCTTTGTTTGGATAATGAGTGTTGGTAAACTGTTGAACCTTTCCCCATTTGACAAGGACGTTTTTGTCAACTTTCACTCCTTCTGATGATTTCTTGCTTTGTTTCAATTGAAATAACCTTTCTGTTTTTTTAGAAGCCATGATTTGCACAACACTTGAATAAATGTAAATACTCTGCACTGAGATGATGTATGTAATAAACAAGGGAGCAAGCTGAATCCCAACGGGAGCTCTGTACTTCAGATATACTAATAATATATTCTAATAATACTAATATATTATAAAATTAGCAGATTGTCATTGGCAATGGCAAAAGAGTGGAAACATTATTTGCACTTGTTTGCAGAAAGTCCGTTGCTCGAGTCATGTAACGGCCAAACAGAAAGTCCGTTGTTCACAGCGTCCGTTATTTGAGGCGTACATTATACGAGGCACCACTGTATGTGTATTTTTACTATTACATATAAATAAACAGTAAAGAAATGTATATTTTTTTATTTTTTGCAGTCTCCAGAACGAATTAATCAAATTCCCATAAAAACCTATGGTAAATTGATAATCGGATAACAAACAGTCTTGGAAGTAATTATGTTGATTAACCGATCACCCACTATATATATACACTGTATGTTTAGCCATTTTTGACTTTGAAAATCATAACTTTTATTGTTTTCATTATTCACAATATTATAATTGAGTTTTTAAATTATTGAAATGATTATTATACATTTTAATGTTCTGAAACTACAGAAAATTTCTATATATATATATATAGAAATATATAAGTTATAGCACATATATTTATATAAATATATATAATTCATAAATCTCAATTAAAGTGTTATTTCTAAGAATAGAATGACTTAACTGTTAAATCAATTAACAATGATTTGCATGAGTTAAAGTCAGACTTTCTAGTTATTTTATAAGCACTGGATGCTTGAAAAAAAATTTGCTCATTTGTTTTGACTATATTTCACTTATAATAATATCCAGTTTTAAGAAGTATCATATAATAAAACAAAGATTTTAATTGCAAATACATATACGTTAGCTAAATATTTTAATTATTTTTTTTTGAACCCTTGGAATGCTTTCGTGGCTATTTTTTAGTCTACATACATTAGAAATATAAACTGCAGTGAAATAGAAAATTTAAGTAGAATTTTAATATAGAGTTCCCTGTAGTGTATATTAAAATTTGCTGAATAAAGGAAAAACAAACTAGGATTTTTCCACAACAGGCTTTTATTGATTCATTTATGATGTAAAAAATAGGTGAATACATAAACTGTAATTTTCCAACGATAATTTATGTTACTTCAAATAATATCAGTACGAAATAAATTTCCTAATTGTAGTAGAATTTACATAAAACAATTAATTAAAAATGGAATTGCTAATCTTTAATTTGGAAAACTTCATAGAATTCTTCAGACAAAAACTTCATTATTGAAAAATCGAATTATGAAGAAAATTTACCTATACAAAATGTACAGAAAATATGGTCATGATTTAATGAAATTTTGGACATAAGTTATGGGATTGCTTCAATTTTATAAAATTAATAGATGGTGTTTATATTGCAGATGAAAACAAAAACTGTTGAAAACACAGGTTCTACCTATAAATAAATAATAATTGTGCAAGTGATTACAATATATCTATGTCAATTTGGAATATTCTTGCTTAAAAAAAAACTGTACGAGACTCATTAAGCACATAAAAATATAATGAAATAGATGGAATTTCAAAATAATACTGATAGGTTCAATAGAAAATGTCGGGACAGTTCACAAAGCAGCATCTTTTTTACAATACAATAAACTTTTGTAGATAAAATTGCACATATTGTAGTCTAATGATTGTAAAAAATTAATTCAAAAAGTCTTGCTTCAATCTGTTTAATAGCAATGTTGCCAAATTGACATGTACATTAGATGATTATATATAGGAGTAAACATGCAACATGGCACAAATTGATTAAAAAGGACATGATTTGTGGTTGGATATGTCGACAATACGGAGCACAACACTGCTTTTTTCATTTTTTGTTCCCAACTGTAGTGTTACTCGACATTCATTACATAACATTTGATATAGGACAGAGGCAATAATTTCCTGAATCATTTTTTTCCTTTTATAAATACTTTAAATACTAAAGAATATAATAGCACCTTACACTACAACACAGTGCACACTGCAATGGCAGCAGCAATATAAAAAATTATATGAATACAAAGAGCTGATTTGTTCACTGCATAAGAATTACAGACAATAACATATATAAAAAAGTAATGTACAAAAGTTTGTTATAAAAAAATTAATCTCCACAAAAACATTTTATGATTTCTTTAGTAGAAAATGATAGGGTAGGAAGGCCAATGATGATCAGAAGATTCACTAAATTAAAATTATATATTTATATATATTTTATAAATACCTATTATATACATACTTTAATATAATAACAAAATATTTAATAAATTAATTANAACAAAAATTATTTTTTTACAAAAAGTATTGTAAATTTATAAAAAAAATAAATATTGGCAGAATTGCAACAAATTTTTTTTTTTATTTAAATCATTAAATAAATTTAAGTAACATTTCAAATTTGATAACTAAGAAAATTGATAATAAAGTCAGATTGCTAATTATTTAATTAATTATTTAAAAAAAACAAAAGAAAAAGGAATGAATTGATAGCCTTCCCACCCAATTATTGAAAATTTAGAAATATACAGTACAAAAGTGTAAAACACATTTATAATGACTTCATTTATATACTAATATCATCATATAAATATCACAAGAAACATAAAAAAGTCTCGTTTTTTTATCTTCAATATTACAAAAATTATCAATCTATTAAAAACTGCAAAATCATTCATTATAAATTTTCCTTATCAAAACAATTCAGTTTATGACATTAATTATATCAAATTGGCAAAGTTGTTCTATTTTGCATAGAGCAACAAAAATTTTTGCAATGCATTTCCCTTTTATATATATATTTTTATATATATAGCATCTACAACTTATGTGAAGACATACATATTCATAAGAAATATTTTTAAGAATTACAACTGCAATAATACATTTTAAAATGTACAGGCAGTATACAAATTTGGAATTCCTGTTATTTTGTACTATGACTTTCAGCCACCTATCTAATTTTAACATTTACACTCCATTCCTCCTGTTTTTTCTTTTTTATTTACTAGTAACATTATTCTGGGTGGAACATTATGGTCACACAATTTATCACTCTACAGGAACATCAATGCTACGATGGTTTAGTAAAACTTCCTTGAACTCAATTCTGTTTTGAACAAACTTTATAATTCCTTTAAGCAACTTTTATTTTTTTGTTTTTTTGATACAATCAACTTAAACAGAAATTCTTCAGTCTATATTACAAAAAAATGGCCAATTGTATATGGCACTTGTTAATAGTGACCCACATTTTTTGATCCAAGATACATCTTGGATATCAGACGTAATGAATTAAATGAGTATGGCCAATAATATACTTTCCACTCCAAGCTCACGTATATGAATCTTTGATTATTTTCAATGAGATTAGATGGTTAAAAATAAAACATCAGCTACAGTCACTGATGTTTCATCTGTAATTTTTCTATTGGCATTTTTTAGGGTCAATAATATTTATATTACCGATTTTTTATATTATAATAAACTATTTGTTTAACCCATAGTGTTGTGACCAGGGGAACCAAGAATTCTTTCTCGACTTGATTCTCTTGCAAGGTGGACTGTTCTCCATTGTCCACTTTCACCATTCAGACCAACAGATTGAAGTGGAGACGGCTGACTTCCTCTCTTTTTATTGCGCCTATACTTAGCGAAATCATCACCAAAGACATCACCAGTACGTAATGCAGATATCAAGTCATCAAATTCACCTTTATCTGAACTTTTAATACTTCTTATTCCATTAATAGCACCATTCTTTAGTCCATTCACTCCTTTCAAAGCACTCTCTTTACTGGACTTATCACCACTGTTGCTGCTACTTTTACGCTAGAAATATATTATAAATAGAAAAAAAATAACTTATACATTTGTTTAATTTATAAAATAAGATATAACTTTAAAAATATAAGAAAAATCAAAACAAGGTATTTCCTAAAGAATATTTGAAAATCCCTCTCTCAAATGAAAAAAATATATATTTAAAATAATATATGTCAATTATCATCATTATATTTAAATTGAAGCTTCAAAATATGATAAAAGTAATCCAATTGCTAATGTGAATAGTTTTTTTTATATAAAACTTTTAAAATTTTTACTACTTAAATCCAATAAAAATCAATTTTATTTTGAAAAAAATGATAACTGTTATTTTTATTTGTATTGCATGATGAAGTGCTTTTTTTGATAGACACTAGGCTTTACTTTACATTATTTTGTTTGTTTCTGTGTTGAATACATTATATCTTATGCAAATATCATTGTAATATATAAGATATATATATATAATAGAGGTAGAGTGGGTGATTGTAATTAAACATTGTCTAGAGAAAGATTTAGCAGTTCAAATGCAATTAAGTCTGCTTATTGTGACATTTTAGAACTTGCAGAAGACATTTTCATGAAAAAGTTAGAATTAAAACACACTAAACCTATAAACCAGCAAATTTTTATAACAAGTGCAAATGTTTTTGCCTGTCTTGAACAAGTATCATCAGGCAAACTAATCGCCAAATGCTGAAACAAATAGGGATTACCAAACACAGAGGGGAGGTGATATAAGACGAGAGAAACAGAAGGGGAAGATAATAAGATTTATAGTTCGAAGAACGACTTCCATGCTGTGGGGAAGGAGTCAACATCACAAAAATTAATAGCAATTTTTTTGCAGGTGGCCTTATATATTTCAACTTGCTCAAGATGTTTGAGAAAAGGTTGCCTGGAAGGGTTATGTAAGAGGCGTGCTTTGCAGAATTCCACATTGATGTCGGGGTCAGAGGTGTAGATAGCCAATGCCGTGTTGGCTAATCCTTTCATGATGGATGGCGTCAGTTTCAATGGTTTCATAATGGCCTCAAGGAACAGACACAAAGCTTATGGGCAGGAGGCCTCGATTAACTATATATAACTAACGTGACTTCTGAAGCAAACCGGAAATTATGTTATTTCAATTCAAAAATATTCCCTTGAAAGGAGTTAGATAGATGAATAGCATGACTCTATTGCTAACAGAAAAGTATAATGTACAGGGGGCAAGATACTACTAATTTGGGGTGAAGAGGATATATTTTTAACACCATCTTCTGGATATTACATGCATAACCAAAGAGATTACAATCAGCCTTAATATAGCCTGCTTCATTAGTTTTGTTATGTGAGGAGAAAAAACACATTTAAGATTTATACAAACAAATTACAGATCTACAAATATCATACTGTTAAGTTTTAAGCAAGTTTTAGTATCATCCATGTATTGAAAGCCTTTGTCAGAACTTGCTGTTTACTTGAAGTATAGCTAACGCAAACAAAAAGTTCTGAAAAATTGTAAATTCATATTCAAAGTAGCTCAAACTTGTATACATAATGACAAAATTCTGTACATTCTTTTTCAATATGCAATTAAAATGTATAGAATTTTTCATATGATGAAGTTGAAAAACTTCTTATGCAAATCCATTTTCTAGTTATGGACAAGGATTTCAGTATACTTAAGCAGGAAATTTTCTTAAATGGGAACATTTTATACAGGAAAAATTTTCACAATTCCTATGGAGAAAAAATTCAGACTGAAATTAAACTTCTTACATGGAAAAACTTATAATGCAGAACTTCTTAACAAAGTTTTACTGTATATTCTATGGGCATAAATATAACTATATATACAAGGTATCAGAAAAAGATCTACATTATTAAAAAATTCTATTTTAAAAAATAAAGCAGTCTATCAAAATGCTGTTTGTAGTAAAATAAAGATTAACTCAAAAAGTTTTTTGGGTTGCAGACTGCCACAATAGGTTGGCTGTGGAAGACCAAGACCCTGGCCCCTGCAACAAACTTAAATGCTATAACATGAAACAACTAAAAAATATTAGTAAATACCTCAGCTTCTTGTTTTGCTCTTTTCTCTTCTTCATCTTTTTTTCTTTGAAAAGTAACATTGTCTTGGCGAGCTTCACTAAATGAAAGTAAAAAGGAATCGAAAATTCCAAAAAATTCATCTGGTTGTATTTGACAAGGATCTTCTCCAAACATTTTAACCACAGTTTCATACTGAATAAAAAAATATAATTATTAAAATTATTAACTATTTTATTTTTCACAAAGTTCTAAATTTTAAAATAAAATAATTAAAATATTTCCAATACCCTTTGTTTCATATCTTGAAAACTATCTTCTAATTCAGAAAATCTGTATGTTGCACTAGTTATAAATTCTTTCATTACTGGAATGAATTTATCTCCTGACTGCTGAGGATGACTTCGATGAAATTCTAATTCCTGCAATTATTGAATACAATTTATATTATATGTTTCTATCATTGAAAAAGTTTTTCTTTTGCATATATTAACTCCACTAATGCAAAGTAGTATTTCTTCTTGTTCTAACAATGGCTTATTGCAGAATAAAATAATGCTTAAAAATTGAATCTCATTATAATAATAATGAAAACATTTAAAATATTAGAAATGAAAAATTAATCAACTATCTTTTATTACAAAAAAACTAAATTTTTTTAGTGTTTGTCATTTAATCCATATATAAACAAACATTTTTGGTTAATTTAATTAATCAACATTGAAAGAGAGCACCAAATTCTAGAACACTGGTTATGAGACCCGAGCACTTCAAAATAATTAGAATTTCCAATCATCACGTGTAATTCTTGATCATAAAATATATAACATGTTTGATTTAATCTTTTATTATAAAATATGGCAATCAGTTCTTGTAGATTTATTGATAGTTAGCAATTTATTTTATGAAGTAGGGTCAAATAAAAACTAGAAGAATAACTTTATTTCTCATATAACTAAAACAAGATCACTGAATATTTTTATTTTTCAACATAGTCTCTTCTATTCACAACTTCTTCCAAATTTGACCAATAACTTAATCCTTTGTGAGAAGAACTTTTTTGGTAACACAAGAAATTTGATTGAAATCCTAAATAATATGGCTGAAATACCATTTCATTTAGTGAGCTAAAAAATAGAAAGCTCTGGAAGTAAAATCTAAAAAGTATACTGGATGAGGTAAGACCTCAAGATACAGTTTTTGAATAATTGTAATAGTTATTTCATCATGTGCAGATAAACATTATCTGGAGAGTAACAAATTCTCTTTTTGTCATTATTGTTGGTTTCAGACAATATTGCAGAAGGTTATTATATGATATAGATATTACATAAAAACTACAATCATAATTATCAGTTTTTCTACTTTTTGATGCCATTATACATCATTCACACTTCACTCTTATCTAAACAGGCACTGCCATAAACTATAGACATTCTCCAAAGAATGTCAGCTGGTTTCATACCTTTTATATTCAAAAATCTTACAACAGATCACATTACTCTTCAAATAGCTGTATATTGGAGCTGCCATTTTTGAAATTGCTCCTGAAACAATGATGCTACTTATAATATTAGCAACAAAATGATATAAGGAGTGCCATACATCATATGATCAAATCCTACAGTGGAAACTGATGATTGGTTTTGATATAAATGATAAATTGATTTTTATTTGATCCAATCTTGTAATTCTGTTTAATTTTAATTTATTTGTTTCATGATTATATTTACAGCCTTAAAATATGTCATTAAAAATTTTAATTACTTAAATTAATATACTAATAATTATCAAAAACACATTTACCATTTGAACTTCTTGTAAACCAGATTTCATACATTGAATTTCTTTTGTTAATTCAGTTAAACTAAAAATTATAAAATTTGTTAATTTAAATAATATATTATAAAATCATTAAAATAAATAACTGTAATGAACTAGTTTAATATTGCTAATACAGTCGATTCCATTTAACTGGGCTACCAGTTATTCAGGGCAGTCGCTTTATTGGACCAAATCCCAAAGAACGGAAACCAAACTAATAAATTAATACGTAATTTAATTGCTTAATTGGGAAAACTTTTTGCTTAATTTGGACAGTAGCAGAAAAGGAATTTAGCAAGTTTTGATATATTTTAGGGATCTTCTGAAAATATGTAGACACTATGTACACTAATGTCGTGTAAGCGTAATAATTGGCAGAGACAAAGCAATTTTGTCTTTCACTCAGGCAGTTCAGTTTTTCTGGAGGGGGTCACCATAGCGGGACGTATCACATGGGGATCCTGTCTGAAATGGATCTGCATGCGAGCTACTGGCCCTGCTCTGGTTGGACCGGACGATCCTTTAAAAAGCGAAGGGACAAAGATCCCTGGACAATTTTTCAAGGTCTCTCAACTGAGTTGGAAGACAGCAAGAGTTTCCTTGGAAGGTATTGTGTGCATAATTACATCTAGGTTCGAACAGCAGCCATCCAATCATTGAGACCAGCATCAGAGCTGGCAGATTCTATGGACACTCCTGCCGAAGTGGCCCATCTTCAAGTAAAGGAAACTGTGTTCAAAGCAAGACTGTAAGGTGGCTTTTGGACAAACCCTTTCCTTTCTTCCTTTTTAGTTAGAACATGTTTTAACTTAAAAGGAAAAATCATTTGATCAGGAACAAATCGAACAGTCAACCCTTGTGTACATCACTACTAATATTATATTTGGCAACACTAGCATGATGCGAATCAGTTATCTATTATTGTGAGTTTGGCAAATTTATAGTACAAATAATTTCTGTATTTTGGTTTAATAAAGCATTAAAATAGGTACCTAATTATTATTTTTACCTACTTATTTATTTACCTACATATTACATTTTATTTTAGAATTTATTATTAGTTTGTTTAATTGGGGCAGCCACTTAATTAGTCCCAATGTGTCCCAATTAAGTGGAATCAATTGTATATAGTTTTAACTTATTAAATTATCAATGAATTTATGTAATAAAAATATAAAAGCTTATAAAAAAAAAATATAAACCCAAGAATTCAATATTTTAATATTAAATTTGATATATTTAATACAAAAATATATACTGTACTGTACTTAATAATAAACAAATGTATTGGGTAATTCAGAAGTTCTTTGACATAAACAGCCATTTATGCAATATGTAAATAAATATGTATTAATAATAAATACATGCATACATAAAAAAGACCAAAAAACCTATACTAAATTGAAACTCAGTTTGTTGTTGCATAAAACAAACTAAAGAAAATTTTGCATTCTTGGCATTGCAAGTGACTGCTATGTCAAAAAACTTCTGGATCATCCAGTATATTGAATTTAATTTATAACATAATTCTATTTTTATTTAATGCCAAATGATCTACAATAATATTTGCTGTTATGATGATGAATATACCATTTGTGAGGCTCCAGACAGGGTCTGAATCTTCTCTAAATTTGCTCAAAAAATTTTTTGATTATTTATTTTTACTCTTTTTATTATTTGTTTTTATTATAATTTGTAGAACATCAGAATGTCAATAAAGAACTCAAATCCTAAGATCAACAACCCGCAGATGGAATCAGAATTTGGCATTGGACTAAATGTTGATGTCAACCTCTCCTGTGACCTGAGTTGGTCTCAAATTTTCCCTAGAAACAGGTAAAAGACCAATTGGAAAGTATGAACAAGAAACTGAGACCAATTGGAGTGACAATCAATGGACCAAACAGTGAAAAAAATCTGTATCTAAAGGTATGAATTTCTTTTTGTTCCTTCTCAATCAAGTTCTCACTCAGGTTGCTCTTTTCTGTATAACTAATTTCTAACTTCCTATTTTTAAATAAGTTTGATCTAAATATTTCAGTTATTCTGATTAAAAATCAGAATTAAGATACAATCTAAATTAGTAATGAAAAATCACTAATTTTGATAAATCAGATTTGAACTTTGATTTCTTATAAAAATATGTAAATCCCTTTTTGCAAATTTTAATTTTAGAGGTAAATTCCTTATTGTATAATTATTTTTAAAAATTCTTGTCTTAAGATCCTACAGTTTTTTTAATTAATAAAAATTTATTTAAATTTACATCTCTTCTAGAGTATGATTTCATATCTTTACCACTTATTAATAAACTACACTCCTCAAAAGTGAAATTGCAATACCACAAAGGAATCCGCCAATGATTTGTGTTTCACTTTAAATATGTTGCCCATCTGCAATTTGCCAAGTCTTGTGACCCTGTTTCACTCTACGACCAACTTGGAAAGATTCACAGCATGGCATCGAAATTTGCACGAGATGAAAGAGATAAACTAAACAAGAAATTCAAGTGGCTTTGTAATGCAGCACGCAAACAACAAAATCTGGTGCACAAAGGAATGTATGTAGCTGCATGCAAATTGCAGGAACGGTAGAGGTGACAGAGATATGCAAATGATTAAGTTTGCATACACATCAGGTCCTGTGGTACCCAGTTTTAAAGCTATAAAGACCAGAAGCCAGCTAGGCTAGGGCCATAAATGCTATCAGAGATAGTTTGCAACTGCTGAACTTTCAAAGAAGCATAAAAAATGCCTCAGGGATGACAGCAAGCTGAGTACCACCAGTTAATGGTTGGAAAGCAAAGCCATGTTGTGGAACTGTGCAACCTTGGTGTGTCAATGCACACAGTTGCCATGCGTATTAAGCATGAATTGAGTACATCCAGTAATGTGTGACATGATTTAACATCTGCAAACACTCCGAAGAGGGAATGGATTGCACTAGCACATAACAGAGCACACATCCAGCAGATTTGCTGAATGGTTCATCAGGACCCATCCACCACAGCACGACATCTGGAGCCACCTGTCATTATCAATAGATGCATCTGTGTCCACCCAAACCATTTACAACAGGTTGCATGAAGTCAAGCTGATCACACAGCAACCAAGGTGTCATTAACCACTTGACACAGGGCTGCACACCTGGCATGGTGTTGTCATCATTGCCAATGGACCACTGAATGGCATCAGGTTTTGTTTACAGATGAATCCTGCTTTTGTCTGTGGAGGAATGACAGCTTTGGACAAGTGTAGCACTACCAAAGTGGACGCAGCTTGGCAAGGAATACCTCAGGCAACCACTAATTGTCTCATTGATAGCATGCGTTATCCGATAGCAGCCTGTAAAGCTGCCTCTGGGGACCACATTCGTTATTGAATACACAGGTGTATGTTGCATATCTTTGTTTTTTAATCATTTGCATATCTCTGTCACATCTACCAGTCCTGCAATTTGCATGTGGCTATCTGCATTCCTTTGTAGTGTTGCAATTTCATTTTTGAGGAGTGTATTAATGTCTTGAATTTCTGATATTGTACATGAATCTGTGTAAAAAACTACTACTTTATCTGTTTTCTTTGTAAAACTAAGTATAGTATTAAAAAACTTTATTTGAACAAAGTATTTCAATGAAACTTACTTGACTTTTGCAGCATCTCGAACATGAGGTATGTCTTCTTCCAGTTTAATAACATCTCTAAACTAAAATTTTAAAAGAATACCATAAATGAAATACAAAAAATTTTTTGAAGTGATTATTTTTTCTGACAAAATTTTAAAATATTTACCTTTTTCTCAATTGTACCAATAATGAAATGTAATAAAGTCAGATTGCGATTTATACTTGATTTGGTGTCTGCTATTCTATTAAGACTAGCAATTCTAAAACCAATTGCATTTCCTCTTTGACCTCTATTCATGTAATTACCAATTGCTAATACTAATTCTAAGAGTTTTCTTAATCTTTTACTTCTTTGTACTTCTTTTGAAGCTTCTAACACAGCTGAAATAATTTATTTTAATAAAGTAATTTAATAACAACGCTATATAATAAATAAAATTTTTTTAAAATATTAACTTTTAACTTTATGAAAAAAATTTGTAACCTTCAATTTTTGGTTTACAGTCACTAATTCTTTCTTGAAACTTCTTTTTACAAAAGAGTGTTCTAATTCTCTGTTCATAATGGACTATTCTATTAAGAAAAACAAAAAATTTATTTTCAAAATCATGCTGAAAAACAGGTGTAATATATAATAAACTCATGTAAGGTATTTATATATTTTTAAGATCTGTAAAAGTTAAATCTAAATGATATTACATATTTGGTCCTAAATTAATATAAATAATAACAATGTAAAATCTTCTTATTAAATTTGAAACCATGTCTTCCTATATACTTTGCTTCCTTAGCATGCTGAAGTTCAATTGAATAGACACAAAGCAGTTTTTTTATATTCTTTATTTATTCATTGGTCGATTTGCATTTCGGGTCTCTGGTACCACTCTTTAACCAACTGTTTACAATGAATAAATAATGTAAAAAAACTGCCTTGTGTCTATTCAATTTCACTTCATCATGCTAAGAAAACAAAACAATGTAAAATCCAATAACAGTTATAAGGAGATGTAGTAAATATATTATACTCTTGTTTATATGAGGTTGTATGTCATCAGATACTGCATAAAATTAAATTCCACATAAATTTATGCTCCACTCTAAGTACAGTGTGTCATAAAAGAAGTATTACCATTTTGTTTTACTATCACTTTTTTTTAAAGTTATGTCAGTTCTTATTTGACAGTCATATGTATTCCACATCCACATATAAATATAATTAGAAAGATTGAATAAACTACTAATAAAAAAGTTTATTCAATCTTTCAATATATATATAATGTTTTATTAAAATTTATTTAAAAACAAAATGGAAAAATGTTTCTTTTATGACACCCTGTAGTTTCAGATGATTGCCTAGACACTTATGAAGCTATTTACATTTAACACAAAAACATTAAAACATGCTTAAAACATTTCACTTATGTGTTTGCTATAATGAATAACATTTTAGTCTATTGTTTCTGAATATACAGAAAAATTTTTTTTAGTTTATCTTATTGAGTAATGGCACACTATTTGAGAAAAACTACATGCAAATCATAGTATTCACCACAGTGAATATCATTTAGTACTTCTCCCTGTTTGAAAGCTAGAGAAGTATGGTTTGCTAAACCATACTTCTCTATCTTTCATACCTCAAACTTATATCAAATTTAAGAATCAGATTCAGTGGCATTAATCAATCATCAATGGTGCACCCAGAGGGAGGCCAAGGGGCCTTAGGACCTTCCAAAAAAAAGGAAAACAAACACTAGAAAATTTTGCAAAATCTTTTCTTAATTAAAATTCATTTTATTTATATTATGATGTGTCTTCTATCTCCACACTACTTATGAATTAGCAGACACATAAGGTGAGAATTTTGTTGAATTCCCATAAAAAAAATTTTTTTTATCTGTTCAACTCTGTTCTCCCTAAAATTAAATCCTGAGTGCACCACTGTCAATTATTATCTACAGAAATACAAATCCTTACTATCAAACCCATATAAAACAAGACCTTATTATAATACATTAGTACACAACAAATACAAGAAAATTTATTATTAGTGTTGTAACGAATAGTATATTCGGCCTCAGGCTGAATACCGAATATTCGGCCAGGAGGGTGGCCGAATAGCCGAATATTCGGCCAAACTATTCGGCTTGATTAACGCACGTACGAAAATTGGCGCGCAAACCGCATTATGGCAAGGATCCTGTTCTCTATTGGCCCGCTGTCACTACGCTTCGCCAATCGCATTAATTCTTGGCAGTTGTAGCTGACAGACAAGAGTGTCATGGAAGTATGTGATAAATGATGATATCAAATAACTTACACTTGTAAATAACGGAAAAAGAAGAGAGAAGGACCGCAAAGTGAAAATGTGAAAATAAATATGAAATTGAGTTGATAACATAATCGAACAAGTCGAGGCAGCTTATTGGCACGAAATTCGCGCCCGTCAATGCCAAATAATTGTTGTCATAGACTTCGGAAAGCTAAATGCTTGTAATGAAAGTCACTTAGCATGCACGGGCGAAAGCCTGGGGCCGTTCGGGCTATCAAGCTGTCTTGAATCTGTGAAATCATAACTGTGACTTATATCGACGTCCTGTCTGTCTCTTTTCTCCGTTATCACCAGGCTATGAGTCACATAATTATAAAATGGTAAAACTACAATGGAAAAGTGACAAATCGAAAGTATCGTGAGCGCGTATTATGATGTATGCATAGGCATACGTGAACTAGAGAGATGGAGGAAAGAGAAAGGAAAGAGTAAAGACGAGCGCTTAAAAAGGATAGGCAGGGTCAGATGTTTGCGACGATTCTCGAACGAATAGGTGTACGTGTGCTGATCTTTGTAATTATAAATTGTGAATACATATGACTAATATTATTACTTTTTTTATTTTGTGCATGTTTCAAGTTATAAATAAATATAAACAAACAACACTAACTCGATAACATTAAATCTAAGTACCAAAATGATTAATTTACTGTGTTTTTGTTATTTATTACTCCTGTTTTTAGGTATTCGGTATTCGGCTGAATAGTGATTAAATATTCGGTATTCAGCCGAATAGTGAAAAATAGGCCGAATACCGAATAGTAACCGAATATTCATTACATCATTAATTATTATGTATAGACATGATAAAAATGAAACATCAATGCAAATTTGTACTTGATAATCATTACAACCATTTGTGAAATTCACTATGCTATTAAATAAAGAAATACAAATATAAATTAATTCTCCTAGTTAAGAATGGAATATAAAATTTAAGCTAAATATTAATGATGAGTTCATTATATTGCTATTAGCTACATATTCACTAATATGTAGCTAATAGCAATTAAATTTAAGTACATTATATACCATAATCAATTGTAATTTGCATATTCACATGTAAGTGAATATTCAAATTACAATTGATTATGGTATTATAATGTACTTAATTTACATAATTCATATGACTTATCAATAGCTTATTTGTAGAAAAATTTTAATTTTGACAACAAATTTCATTATGATATTCAATATTAAATATAAATAAAAATTATAAAATCAATAAATTATTTTGCTTTATTACTTTAAAGGAGTTCTAATAATAAATGTAGTTTTCTATATACAATTCTTTATTGTAATGTACTATACATATTAATTGGCTTTAATTCAAAGACTGGTTACGTTTAGATCATTACATATTTTGATTTAAAACATGGTTAAAACATGCTGTCATTGATGCTAATTTCAGATCAAATTTTTAATTTTTCAATGAAAGTGGAATTAGAAAAGTCTAAAAATCTTTCATTTCTTGGATTAAAATTTAATCAAGTTTTACATAGGTTTTAACTAAAATAACTTTTTGCAAATATTAATGTAGACTGTATAAAAAAATAAAACTATGTAAATGCACATATACAGTATATCATATCACATTACAGAAAAAAATTATAAAAGCTCAATAAAATATTAATAACAATAAAAACAACTATTTGAACAAAATGATTTAAAAGTCTTCATACAAAATATAGATCACTTGAAAGGGACATACAATACTTTTGATATGTTTGTGTGTCCATAACTTCAGACAATGTAACGTGTGTTTTCCATGAGTGGAAGAAAAGTGCTATCAAGATCATTTGTTATTTTTTGTTTTTTGGTGTGTACATATATATATCCACCAGAGCTTGGTTTAGATGAATGCTCCCCATGAGAAAGGAGGGTATAACCTTTGAGATAGACAAAGATGGGAATTATAAATACAGAAGATTTTTATGTGGGGTGTGTATGCACACATTTCTTTTCATTTATTCTGGCTGGGACAAGTACAGAATTTGTCATTAAAAAAAAAAGTCTGATAGTGGGTCTGAAATATGGGAGGAGGAGAAGTTTGTAAATGTAGCAACTTTAAATAAATTGTGTAAGTTGATCACTTTTTTCTTTGTTATATTTGTGATCAACCCTGAAACAGGAACCATCACACAGTGTATGCAAGGTTTTTTGTACACAAAGTCACAAAATTATGTACTTGAAATTCTTTATCAATTAACTTTGTTCTTTACAAAATTAAGATTTCCAATCAAATAAAATCTTGTTTATTTTTTTTGGCACGTATTCTCACAAAAACATTCAGTTAGATGGCACTCATATATATCATATTCTGAGAGTTATAAATCACTGCATAATAAAGTGAATTCTTTGACTATAAATGAAAGACTTTTGAATCACCTTGTATCTGATATGTAATTTTCTAACCTGCTAATTTCAAACAGAAATCTATCTGCTCTTGCCATATTTTCAATTTCTGCACTATGTTCTTCTAAAAGGACTTTTTCTTCTGGACTTGGCATAAATTTTAACAACTATAAAAAAATAATTAATTAATTAAGAATTTAAAAACAATTTACAACTTTCAATAAATTATAGAAAAACTAAATAATTTTATATAGAATTATTAATTCTTTTTTAAATTCAATATAAGTTCTATTTTATCAAAATAAAGTAAATATCAACGTATAATTTGTTTGCATTTAACTTTACAATTTATATTAAAATAGATTTAACTTGCATCTTACAGTTAATTCTTCAGATATGGTTTAATATTAAACTTCTAAAGCCTATAGTGCAACAAAATTGACAACAATACCATTCTTCTATTTAGAAAATTATTTTTTTTATGACCATCTTTGAATAGGATTGGATTGCATTCTTTTATAAATAGTATTATGTAAAAATGACTACCATTATCTGAGTTTTGTCAATTACATAAGTATGCGATCCACAAAAGGAATGATTAAGTATTAGGTGAAAGGAAGATAATCTTTGACATGAAATACTTGTAAAACAAACATAAGAATCTCAGATTTGGATCCAGATTCTTCAAGATGATAAGAGACTGTCTTGCCATTTAAAAGCACCCTGTTTATCAGATTTGGAAATTCAATTATAGTTAAAAAAATTATATATAGATTACTGTATATTAAACAAAACTCTTTATAAAAGATGAATACCATTTAACATTACTAATTCATAAATTTTGTAAAAATTCGCATATCTATGCTAATTTTTATATCAATCTTGCATATCCACATTTAAGAGCTTGCCAGAGTCTCAAGCTTGCCAGATATTTGGTTCAGAACTGTATTAGTGGAAACAGTGTCTTAGCAAATTCAATTAAAAGAAGCTACTAAGACAAATCTTCAGAAAATGAGAATATGACATATTTCTGATATGCTTTAAATTTCATTTCAACCAAAGAAAAATAATTTTTACATCTAAATAAATTACATAGTACTAATAATTCATTCAGCTTTCTAAGAAAAATACATTATATTTATAGTCATTTTTTAGTTCATAAAACAAATTAAGTAAAATTAATTTTGTATATTAATTAAATATCTTAAAAGCATCTTAACTTATCAAAATAGTTTCTGAATTTTAGATGTAGTAGAAGTTTTGTTATTTAGATATCAGATATCAAAATATAGATATATTAGATACAGAAGAGCTAGGGACACTTTAATCTGTTTTAAACTATCTGATTGACACTTTCTTCAAGACAAATAAGAAAAACTTGTAAAGACTTTATAGTCCTATATGTCCTATAAGTGAATTATTATTTAGATGAGTTAAATTTATAACAATAATTTCTTTGTATATATATATTTATTTTAATTAAAGATTGAACAAATGAATATAAATATTTAATATTCATTTCATATATTTTAAAATTTGGAATTAACTCTCTATTTGCTTTTGTTAAGAGATGGCGCCTAACGTCTACTTCTAATTTCTTATCACATAATTTCTAATTCTTAATTGTAGCATAATATTGCCTGATTAATTCAGCTGATGGTTGGATGATTAATCACAATACATTGGATTATTGAGATGCTTATATATATAAATCAGTATTAGATCAATTAAGAATTTTGGTTTTGAGCAGGACATCTATTGTAACTTGATCTGGGAGTCAAGTCAAAGATGGAAATTCCAACATACTTTTCATTTGTCTGAGAGATCCTTGTGTAGTCGTCACTCAGTCAGTTGTATCCGAGAGTGAATAACGTTAATTGTTAATTAACTATGTCTTTTTATGTGAAACAGTGTAGAAAACAAAATTGATATAAAAACATCTATTGTGAAGATGATTCATATAACTACAACAAGAGCACTTCCATTCAGTGGCAGCAAATGTGTGCAAGATGAAGTAATGTCTATGAGAATCTTCTTTGTTTAGATCATTTTCTGCAAGTTCTTTTTGAGTGGAAATCCTAATAACACTTACCATACTGGTATTGGAATGGAGACAAAAGTTTCTAACTGGATACAAGCAGATTTGAAAGCATGGGTCCATGACAAGGCTTTGTCAAGTTTTAGAGTATGACTTTCTAAAAACATTGTTAAATCTGAGGGAATAACAACCCAGCAATAAAAGCATCACATACATATTCACTTTTATACTCTTCAGTAGAGACAGAAGTGAAGTTGCAGTCCTTGCTTATTGCCTTGAGGTTCTGATAAAATTGGTCATTAGACTCACTGGGTTGTTGGCAATGATTAATCAGATAATGACAAGTGAAAATTTTGTTTACAGGCTTCACATATAGAGCAGTCATTCTGTAGCTTTTGATTTTAATAGTGTCTTCAAATTCAGAGTACTCTGATATATAAAAGCAGTCTACTACAGAAAGTTATCCAATTTGATGTTCTTCATTTGCAATGAAATATTTCTTAACAATTTTTTATCAATGGTTAATAATCACTAATTGTTGCTCATTGTTTGAAGCAATATTTTGAAAGTATAACAGATTAGGCCTTACATTAAAGTTGAAAACTTTCTAAAAAACTTTTAATATGTAAAATTCATGAAGCATGAAATTTTAATATGAAAAAAATTCTTGTATTTCACAAATTTTTCACATTGCAAAATAAATTACTTATTTAATTTTTAAGCCTTTTCATTATTTAAGCTTTCTTTAGAAAATCATTCAAATAAATCTCTGATGAAGAAAGTTATTTGAATAATTTATATTATTGGAACAAAATAATTGAGTAATGGGTTTCTTAAAAATTAGTCTATTTTTATCATTATTTATTTTATAATAAATTCTTTAATAAATTTTAAAATAAACTAGAAAATAATTTTTTCAAATATTAATAATAAATACACATTTATTAAAGAAATCTTCAAATAAAAATAAAGTTGTTTTTACTGGAGCAAAAAGTTTCAAAAATGCTTGAAAAACTCAAATGTTTTTGGGTTATACAACTATCCTTGATGTGTAATCCAAAAGAATGGGTTTTTCAAGAATTTTTGAAACTTTTGTTTCAGAAAAGTAGTTTAGGTTATATATTAGAATATAATGTATGTATTTTATAGATATTTTTAAACTGAAAATTTTAAATAAGCAAATGTAAATAAATTACTTACTTGTTCTACCATATCTTTAGGTAATTGTTCTTTACTATCCATACTTAATATTGCCCTACATATTTCTTCATTTGACATCCTCAGTTTAGATAACAATATAGTACAATTCTGTGCACGCCTTCCATCAATAACAGAGAGCTCCCTCATGGCTCTTACAGGTCTTGTCAAAACAGTTGGTATATCTTCCATGGAACCATTTGACTAAAACAGATATTTAAATATTTATTAGTTAATTTAAATTATCACAACAGAGATAAATCAAAATTTATATAATATTTAAGATGTTTATTTATAAATAATAAATATTAGATAAACAATGATTTTCAAATTACATAAAAATTAGANAATATGATTCATTAATTCAAATTATTAATTTAGTTAGTTAAATGCATATGTAAATTTGATCCTAAGAAGTTGGTTCTGTAGGTATGAATGATGGAATGTGTCATGTCAACAAATATTCAATTCTAACAAATGAAAAGAAACAATCATTACCATATTTTTGTGCATTTAACATGTGGTAGCACAATCTACAAAAATTTGCTAGAACAAAAATAAAACCTTGTATAACCTGTCAACTGTATATTACATTGTATAATTAACAAATATATTTATTTATTTATTGCTCCAGAAGCAGTGTTTGTGATTGCACTTTATAATTAACATATAACCTAATTAAAATGCCTCAATGTCTTTGACTAACTGTAATATATAAATTTTCATCTACAAGTACGTATTTTCTAATATCAGGACTTATTATACCGGCTTTACAGATAACGCTACAGAGTTTCACAGAAAACAATTTTTTGTTTTATTTAATATACTTATTTAATAAAAAAAAAAAAAATTGTTTTCTGTGAAACTCTGTAGCATTATCTGTAAAGCCAGTATAATAATAAGTCCTGATATTAGAAAATACATACTTGTAGACGAAAATTTATATATTAACATATAACCTGCCCCACTGTACAACTTGCATCTGTTTCAAATTGACTTTTAAATGGTACAGTTTTTCAAATCATATACAAGAAAATATGGTAATTTGGCTTTAGTTCAAGAGTTATATGTTTCAAATATTTTTAGTTCCTAAATATAGATTTATATTTACTGTAAATCACTGAATAATAATGAAATAAAAATTTTGCTTACAAATAAAAGTTGTGCATTAACTTGTCAATGGTTGCATGGATCTTTTCTGAAGATAGAACACTAAAAGAATAGTTGAAGAATTTAACTATTCTTCAAGATGCTCATTGCAATGAATTTTCAAGCAGTCAGTATTACTTAACATTATGACACACAGTATATAAATGTTATCATTAACAGCTAAAGAGTAACTATGTTGTGCACATAATTTTGAATCATGAGTGTAAATTGAACAATGTTTTCCAATTCCTCTATCACATTATCTCAAAATTATGTATTTCAAACATGCATAACTTGAACACAGTTTATTTATATAAACTAGAATTAATAATATATATTTTTTTAATTTTAGTATTCAATGGAAATAATGTAATGTAGACATAATCTAAAGTTTAAATGTGAAAAAATTATTTTTTGTTTCAGTTTTTAGGCTAGTGTCAGTGTCAAAACTGTTTTCAATATATATACAGAAACAGCACTCAACTGAAGATGGATTATATTATGATTTACCAATATACATTTTAAATAAATTAACATTAACTAAATCAAATTATATATAATGTTTTGTATACTTATAATTTATTACAAAATATTTTTATCAATAAAATAGAAGAAACCCTCTTTTGGCATTATTTTAATAATGAAGAAAAGTACATATACACAATACAACTTAACAATTGTTAGTACTTAAAGTAAAAGAAATTTATCATCAAGCAAAACTGAAACATACTATACCTAGAGATAAGCATAAAGGTTAAAAGAATATCATTAGAAGAAACAAATTTTAAATAATAAAATTTTAAATCACAGATAAAATTTCAAATTTAATTTGCATTGTTAATAAAAATTATACTTGTATCTTTATATACAGTACTAGTATATGTTACATTTTTAGAAAGATGTGTAAGAAAATTTTTTGAGAATTTCATAATATAGAGATAATAATTTACTGTATATAGTAATTATAGGAAATTATAAAGTATATTTGTCCTTATCCTTCCTTAGAAAATTATTACCTAATGATCTTTATCATTGTTTGAAAATTTTGAAGTTTATAAAAATTCTCTTTTGCAACTATCTGTAATTATTATTTTATTATTTTTAAGGTATTAAATCTTTGGGTCTTACACACTTTGTTAGATTCTTGCACACTTTTATTACATGTTTTGTTTTCATTTAGTCAAGTTTTCTTCAGAAGCATTACATTCAAGATTCTTATTTCTCATTAAAAGTAAAATAATTTTCTTTGTGTTACTTGAAGTGATGATTTAATGAAAACCAAATGTATTTAGATAGTAAAATTTTGTTTTTGAAATGTACTTTCATTTATTAATAAATGGCAAAGATAAAAAGAAATATTGAATATATTTTACAAAACCTAAAACAATTTTAAGCTTTTTTAAATATGCCAATTATATCTGATGGATAAAATAGCATATTAGCAATAAATTTTTTGTTTTAAAAAAATAATATTTACCTGTTGTTTTTGATATGCTGAAAACGTTTTATCAAAATCACTAAGGTCAATATCTTTATAAAGTTTGGAATCATCTAACTCTGTCCATATTGTTCCATCTATTTTGCTCTAAAATATAAATAAATAAATAAAAAATATATATTAATTGTACTATTTAAATTTTTATAAATTCTAACTCCAATATATGTATATGACAAAAGGCAAATTTAAGTATAAAAATACATAATTTTTAAATAAATAACCAAATAATTCTGATATAATAAAACCATTCAGTTGGATACAGCGTTGTACATCATATTTTCTTATCAAAAATGCATTAATCATATAAATACAACAACTTAAGATTTGAAGTTTGCATTGATACACATGATAAGTGATCAAATTTTTATGGTTGTGATATATATTTAGGGAATTCATATAACAATTGAGGCAAGTTAAATTTAGAAATAATAAAAATACATCATTTCAATTAAGAATTACTCAATCTAATTTCTTCACTTTGCATTCTATAGATATATATTAAAATTAAATTTCTTCTACACTAGAAGTTTGTTGTTAACAGTTTTTATTGAATAAAAAGATATTAGTAAATGAAATTGTTATAAAATTTCCATTATAATTACTGTATAATGTTTATTTATGATAAAAGAAATTAGTAACTGTTAAAGTAATCATATCATCCATACAATTTTAAATGAATGAAGTTAAAGCAATTATTTATATTATTTCTCAAATAATAGTTATTTCTGTCATGTATTATTTTATCTTTCTAAGAAATGTACTAATCCATTATTTACATTCATTTCCAAAAATTTATTTGGAAAAGTAAAAAAATTATATATAACAAATTAACAAAAAAATCTACTGAGTAAAATTTAAAATTTGGTATTTACATTAAAGTATATAGATATATTGAAGCTACAAAATGTCTTAATTTTCCATTGTTCACAACACCAGTGATTTCCATTTTGTATTTTTTGCAAGGCATAGCCTCAAATAAAAGATTGTCTCTTTAAGTGAAAATTGTTTTTGGACTGTTGCTGGTATTGTGAACAATGGAAAATAAAGATATTTTTTAGATTGACTTTTGACTNTGGACTGTTGCTGGTATTGTGAACAATGGAAAATAAAGATATTTTTTAGATTCAATATATTTATGTATTTTATATTTTAAAAATCTACTGTTAATCTCCTGTTAATATATGTTAAAAACATGATTAAATTTGTTAGTTTATTAACAGTATGTTAACAAATCAACAAAATTCCATAATTTGTCATATTATCCAGTGGCGTGCTGTCTTTGGAAGCGGTGGAAGTGCAGCTTCCCTTGTATTTTCTAAAATATAAATACATATTGTGCAATTATTTTCATATTTTAAAGTACTTTGAATTAATTAAAATTAATATTTTATTAAAACTGCATTATGTATCTTATTACAAATTTCTATATTATATGTGAAAAAAACGCTAAGATTGCTATTGTATATTCGAATATCAGTGGCAAAATGGAAACGCTGTATTCCCAATGGAAATGCTGTATTGTCGAATACGAGACAGCTTCCATGACAAATATATCTGAATGGTGTAAAGCAGCTAGATTATATGTATTTGAGCATGTGCTTTACAGAGCACTAACCTCACATGGTTTAGCTGATGGATGCTACACTGACAGGAGTTTACTGATATGTTTTTATGATAGTTCTGTATAGTTGACAGGAGTTTAAAAAAAGTCCGTTAAAATATTTGATATATTTATTCTTAAGAACAACCAGAAAACTTATCTTTTCTAGATTGGCACAACTGATACAAATTGAAAGCGCCCTTTTGGACATCAGCATAGACATTTCATAATACATAAAATTTCATTCTGTACACTCAGCAATTTGTGCATAAAGGTGAATGAAGCAGCATCTTTTGTGATGCCTAAAGAAAGAAAATGCCAGACTGGTTGCCTTTCATGAAAAGATCTCATATTCCTGCAAGAAGAAATGCCAAAAGAAACTATGGTGGATCCTAAAAATACAATCACCATACGAACGCCCCCCTCTGTCGTTCCCGTTCATTAACTGGGATAACATACAGCTTCCCTCATATGTGACTACGTTTGGGTCCTAAATATGCTCCTCATCCGATTACAGATAAAATTGACAACATCCTTGAAATAGAAGTATTATTAGCAGGCTCTCCAGTCATAGATAAGGAATTCTACCAATGGAAAATCACTCATACTCTCAAAAATTCCAAGGAATCAAAGGAGCAAAAACAAATAAGAAATAAGGTGGAGCGTTCTTGCAGGTGGATGCGCACAAATAACATAACCCTCATCAGAGCGGACAAGGATAACTCATTGGTCCTCTTGAAGAGAGACACTTACAACACACTTGTGGAAAATCATATCACAGCACACAATGCAACATCACTGACATATCCACAGCACACAATACAACATCACGTTTTACCCTGGCTTGTAGGTTGTTGATGGCCAATGCCATCAACAACCTACAAGCCAGGGTAAAACGCTTTGCCAGCACAAAAGTAGCGAAACGACTGGGGACAACCAACATTGTTAACAGCTGCACCAGACACCCCCAGAATGTTTGCATTTGCAAAAACTCACAAACTGGGAAGAGAGCTCAGACCTGTGATAAACAAGGCCAGAACACCAACTATCAATTTAGAGAAAGCTACGCACAGATTACTAGTATCTCAACTGGAAGGGTACCCACACACCATAACCAAATCGGCAGATCTAGTTAGCATACTTAAACAGATATTGACACCTCCGAAATTCATAACTGTTTTGGACTTCAAATCTCCCTTCGGTATTTTGTGCCATAAGAGATACGCTCATGCACACGATCCAAGACAACACGTTACAACGTAACATCCTAGAAATGGCACACCTGCTCTGCTACAACTCTTTCTTCAAATTCAATGGAGTAACTTACGAACAACAACATGGTGTACCAATGGGAAGCCCAGTCACAGGAGACCTCTGCGAGATTGTGGTCAGGAAACTCGAATCGGAATTCTTACCATCTCAACTCCCACACATTCTTGTATACAAAAGATACATCAATGACATCCTTATACTATGGAAGAAGATCCCAAATATCCTGACGCTAATCAATTCTATCAACGGTAACCCCTATGGATTAACGGTGGAAATAGACCAAGCCCACCCCACCCAAATGCACTTCTTAGACATTCACATCAAAATAGAGGGATCATCCATCAACACAGAAGTGTATCATAAACCAACTGCCGAACCTTTGTATACACCTGCTGTTACGGAAAGATCTGGCAACACCAGAGAGAGAGCGGCACGTGCAAGACAGACGGCCATGTTTAATGTATGCGAGTGTAGATCGTCCGTTCCGAATAAACCCTGAATAAAGTATTCAGAGTAAGTGTTTGCATTCCTGTCTTACTGGGGGTCTTAAGTGTGTCACGGACGGCGTGGAAACACAAAGAAAACCATATAAAACACCTGCAACTTCCTGTGACCCACCACAGTACAAGATGGCAGTGTTTAAGACATTAATCAAAAGAGCATATTTGCATTCCTTGTCACAAACAGCTTTCAGTTCAGAAATGCAACACATAGAGCAAATAGCTAAACAACATGGCTATCACAACATCTTATGCAAGATAAACAACAAGGTACTCCAACAACAATCCAACAACACCTCTCATTCCAATGATTTCCCAGTTAACTTCATACCAGTCACGTATAACCCAGCACTTAGGACCATATACAACCAGATAGCCAAGAAAAAGAATGTCCGCTTGGCATTTAGGAGGTGCACTACAATATTTGATTGGCTTAAGAACAGAAAAGACGCTCCAGATAACAACAGACTTCCAGGAGTATACTCTGTGCCCATCATCGATCATAGAAATAACAGCAAAGTAATCTACATTGGGTCCACTAAATGCAACTTAGAATCTAGGATTAAGGAACATAAAGTGAACATCCTACATCATAGAAACAACACTGCCCTAGCGGTATACTCCTCCAACCCGGAAATAGAGCCGCTATTCCCTCTATCCAGAATTATTCACACCACGTTTCGCACAGAAAATCTCAAATGGCTAGAGACCATATACATATATCTTAACACTCTCAGGAATAAGCACTGCATTAACTTCAAACAAGAAATGATGCTATTAACAGCATGGAAAGCCTTCCTCAATAAAACTCTAAAGTAACACCATACTGATAATGCGCAAGTCTACAATGATGACATCTGTCACATGTGACAACGTTCCAGAAAGATTTCCAAACCAACGGTTAATTCTCGACTGGAAATTCAAATTTGTATAGAGAATTTCATAGCACCTGAAGAAGAACCACATTAGGTTTGAAAACATTTGCAAAGTCCTCTGCTTTGGAGAAGAAGAACACTGATTACAGGCAGTGAAGTTGGGTAATTTATATTTATTCTGTTTTTATTCTGCTTTCCCCTCTCCCATATTGTATTACTTACAGATTTCAATGTTAAACTAGTGATATTACAATTTTGTAAGGGGATGCAGAAAAAAAACGTGTACAATTCTTGTAGAATGTTAAAAAAATGAACTGTTACTTTGGCAGCATATTTACAACTGAATTTAATGAATGAGATGCACAAGGTACAAAAAAAGCCCTAGAATTTATATTCCTTAAATTTGTCCTAAAAATTTGCCTTTCCACTTTTTTTCCAAGACTACAAATATTCAAGTACAAAGTAACTGGTTTCAACTTATTTCTACTTTAGAAGTAGTTAAATAATTAAGATATTAGGGAATTAGGGACATAAATAAAACCCTGCTGATAAAAGAGCTGAAAATTTACTTAAACAAAAGCTTAACTGAACCAATCTCTAGCTGAGTACAGTGGAGACTGATTTCTTGGTAATATAAGATGTAATAAAGACAGAAATTTTTCCTGTTCAATGAGAGTGACTGAAAAGTTGTAAATTTTGGAAATTTCCATGGACACCTGGTTCTATAACGACCAGGTGTCCACAGACAATCTATTGAGTTTAAAATATGTAGATTTTTATAACTCTAGTGAGAAACATTTAAAATTTACAACAACCCTGTTACATTCTTTGAGGTATACTAGTGATGCGACAAAAGAGGCATTTGATATTGACCAGTATTGGCACCCTCGGGATTTGGCAGTCCGCATGCATGCACACACTGCACACCTACCAAGACCATCTCTGATTCCATCCATTAGCCACTCATAGGGAGCTATTTGACTAATTGGATTGTTTTAAGATTTAAAAAGTAAAGAATATTTTATGTTATTTTTTGTATGTTTCTTTACAAAGCTATTTTAATTATAATTTTCTTTAAAAGTATATTCATACAATTGAAGAATATTTTGTACCAGGAATGTATATCCACCACACATTTTATTTAACCAAGTAAGTTTTTATTATTTTATTTATAATTTTAGCCCTTACATCGTGGCTAGCGATTCAGAATGTAATTGTGATATTAAAAACACATTTAGAGAAGTCTACAGTTTTTTCTGGCTTATCAAACAAACAAATACAAATGGACCCTAAACCATCACTGATGCACAATTAACTGATTGCCCCTGGAAGTCGGCTTCTTACAGAAACACAGCTTCCCTATCATCAAATGTCACAGCTCGCCACTGATATTATCCAAGACTAAACCAAATCATCTTTAAATTTCTTTATAAAATAAAACTAAAACTATTTCTTTGATAATTTTTACCTTTTATAATTTAATATTATAGGCCAACAATCTCCTATTTGAAATCCTCAGAACCAGATACTTTTCAAAATTTGAAATTTTTCAGATTTCAGAATGGTAGTACTGTTTTTACATACCATATACTGGCAGTGGTGCTTGCAGGCTATACAAAAGGAAGCACAAGCTATAAAAAAGGGCACCACACATTATGCAAGAAACTTCAAATCTACTGGTTGCAATCAGGCTAATTTGGCCTTGAAAACAAGGGATGTTTTTTGTTTTTAATGCCAAGTTTTAGTCAACATATGATGAAGTTGCATAGGACAATGAACAGATATTGTTCATTAATTTCTTTTTTCTTTTATATTTGTAGAAAAGGCTAAAAGTAATGAATTTTCTGTTATTTGTTGATAATGGAAATTGGGGCCTTCTTGGAGTTTAGGAAAAGGGCAACACAAATGAAAAGGGAGGGGCGTTTGCACCAAGTGCCCAACATAAAGGTGTCACTGTATATTGGCATCTATAAAAATAAGGATTTTCTAGAGTTTCATTAATTAATTACTGACATGACTGATAATGTCAAAATGTCAAAAATTTGAAAATGTTTAAAGAAATGTCTCTTTTTGGACATTTTCAATGTCTTCCAAGTTGAAAAATTATCTAAAAATAAACAAAATAGCCATGAAATGAGCAGCAAAGACACATCCAATTTGTAAACGATAGTTGTTGTGCAGAATAATGTTACTCCATGAAAACTCTTTGGTTTTTGGAGATTTTTGATTTTCAGAATTTCAGATAAGATTGTCAACCTGTATATTAGTTAAAAATTTTTTTATTTTCATTCTGTAATACAACGGATAATATTGCTTTCATAATCATATAAAAATATGTAAATTAAGACAAATTTACCTCAGGCAGTTTTGACCAATTAAAACATTTTAGTGGATTTGAAGGCTTTGGGATGTAATTCTTGACTACCCGACAGTAAGTGGATCCACGATTTGTTCTAGAACTCATACCTGGATAAGAGGGATTCATTCCTATATAATTAAAATTATATGATCAATATCAATAAACTCAAATATTCCTATTAAAAGTTTTAATTTTTTTAACCTTTTGTCAGATGTTACCTTGTCCTCAGGATGGTATTTTTTTTCTTATGTACACCACTGATTCCAAGTGCAAGTGATCAGCCTGAAGGGTAGGTGTATTTTCGAAGGGATGAGTGAACTAAATAATACAGGAATAAGGGGTGTTTTGGTATCGGAAAACAGTTGCTTTTTTGGAAGAAATATGTATAACCCATCTTCATTATGTATTGTGCCTGCTTGTGTTATGGTAGATGTGTGGAAAAGATGTATGTAATTATTTCATTTTTTTCTGCTATTTTTGCCTTTCTTACCTTACTTTTGTTAATAAACATTTTGAATAAAAAAAAAATATTTATTTTTGAATAAAAGCAAACATTTATTTTGTATTTTAAATAATTAATAAATTATATGTTACAACTGTTAAGTTTGTGCTTTTATATTTTTTACTATAAATTACTCGATTTGTTCATTTTTACTACTGATTTGTACAACTTTTACACTTTTAATTGCAAGTATGATATTTTTATAGTTTTATCCAACTACAAGACATGCCTCACATTCTTCAAGATAATCTGGAAGAAGAGGTGCAAAGTGCCAAAACCACTATACAAGATGAAAGTGGAAAACCTAAGAAAACCTAACTGTGGAAAAAATTTAGAAAGTGATTGCAAAAGTCAATATCAATGTGTGGCCCAATGACAACTCAAATAGTGCTCAAAGTAGTGATATGTTATATTGTATTTTTTCCCTATTTTCCATATTCCTTTGTATTGTATTTTGTGTATATATTACCTTTTCAAATAATAATTATAACATATAATAATGAAAAAAACAATGGTAAATACTATTTAATCTGAAACTGTCTGTCCCCAGCACAGGTTGTGCCTGCTCATTTTAAAATACAGATTGTACCTGACGAAAGGTTAATTATTGTTTAAAATTTATATTAAAATTAAATATATGTATATTGTATTGCAAACATCAAAATAAAATTCTTTTAAGTTTACAATCAAAAAAAAATTCTAATTCAATAGCACTAAATTCTTTTTTTTTTTTTCAAAGTTTAATTAAAAGAATTAGTAATAAATTTATGATGTTCTCCATTTGTTCAATCCATTTTTTTTAAACTCCAAAATTTTATTGTTTACTAATTTTACATGAGATGATCAAAAACTAATTTTATAAAGTCAATACCACAGATAAATTTATTGTAAAAATAAAAATATACAGAATTTATCTGCAAGCAATATCCTATTTCTCAACAAAATCTATCCAGTCTGCCCAGACATTTATAGTAACACATTGCACATTGTAACAGTTCTACTATTATTGTTTTACTTTCGTCACTGCGCATGATGAAAACAAATGAGATGAGATCGTAACACAACTGTGTTTGTTGTCTTCCTTGCGTATAAGGTACATTTCTCAACAACACGGCTAACGAAGGAACAACTAACTGCCAACCATCTCACTGAGTGAGTTCGAACTCTTCTAGAAAGTGATGACTCATACCACCCGGGGTTCATTGCTTGTTTTTCATAACAGTTAAGATATGAAGGGTGGCGTTTGCCACAGAGTATCCCCCCAGTGAGGGATGAGCGATACAATTGATAGCTTCTTGATAACAAGTACTGAGTTCAGCGTTAACATGATTTTCTTATATCGCAAGTACTTTTGACGAGTATTATATCATCGTCCTCAGGCAAAAAAGAACAAATTTGAAAAAATAGAATGTGAAGAGTGTTCCAAGTAGAAAATGGAAAATTTTCTTGTCAATTTTTAAATTATAATGTTTGGTAATTCCATTGGTAATGTGCAACAAGCTTTTGCGGGCATTTGAAAGATCTTAAATCCACATGACTAGCAGCGCATGTGCTGAGGAGCGATCATACTAATTGTGCGACTCTTGGCACATTTTGTTGTTTAAACGCTGGTATAAAGTAATCCATATTTCGGGCAAGTCAAGGGTAGTGACATTGCATGCGTCCATGGTCATTGTGAGGAGTGATTCCCAAATAAATGTAATCCTTCTGTTATTACAGCACTTGAGCAATGCTGTCTTTGACCATAATGGGTTATAGCCCTGCTGTAGAACTTTTCTGGCAAGCTCTGTGGTTTGTCTTCCTTTGTTTATATCCTCTTGATGTTCTGTGAGGGGCAACGACAAGAATGCTGGCTTGCCATAATACCCAGGAGAACTACTGCAAGAGCGTCGGTCCATTTGGAGGATTCGTGTGCCATTAGCGATGCCTTCAGGTGTCTGTGCAATCATTCTATTAAACTGTTTGATTGGGGATGGTATGCTGCTGAATGGATGCAATTGGTGTTGAGAAGTCTGGTCAGTTCTCGGAAGATTCAAACTGGCGTCCTTGATCAGTGGTGATGGTAGTAGGGCATCCGAATCTTGTGATCCAACCTGAGAAAAGGCTCGGCATATTATCTAAGCAGATATGTCGACAATTGGGATGACCTCTGGCCATCTGGTAAAACAGTCAATCACTGTAAGGCAGCAGTGTTTCCCATCAGCTGGCAGAAGTGGTCCTATCAGATCCATGTGAAGATGGGGAAATCTTGCTTCTGAAAGTATAAACTTTCCTATTGATATCCAGGCATGGTGGTGGATTTTTGATTTCTGGCAGGAGATGCAATGTCGTGTCCACTGACAGATGCCTTGCATCTGTCAGTGGACAAGACAGATCTTCTGCATGCCTGGCCAAACATAATGGCTTGAAATTAGCTTAGTGGTTGCTCTTGCTCCTGGATGCGAAAGTCCATATAGGTAATTGAATGTGGTTCATTGGAGATTATGCAGCACGAAGGGGCAAGGGATTCCGGATGATGTGTCGCAATATATATCGATTTATGGTTAACCCATAATCTTGGAGGTGTTGGAATAAGGTACAAAGATGAAAGATGTGTTCTTCCTGGGAGCATGATGATATTAGTATGTCATCAACAAAAGCATATATGAAGGAGAGTTCTCTGGTTACTTTGTCAATGAACCATTGGAAGGTTGTGGATGCTTTGCACAATCCAAATTGCATCCTGGTACTCTCGAAAAAAACCAAATGGTGTCATTATAGCTGTTTTGTGCACGTGCGGTGGATAAATGGGTATTTGATGATAGGCCTTGATTAAATGTATATGGGAGAAGATTTGTGTTCCATACAGTTCTGATGTGAAATCTGCAATGTTTGAAATGCCGTATCTGTCCTTTATTGCACCCTAAACGCACAAACCATAATCTCCCACAGGTCATCAATCTCAATTGTTTTTCTTAGTGACCATGTGGAGTGGTGATGCATAATTACTTTTTGATGTTTGCATATGGCCAACAGCTATCATCTTATTGAATTCAGCCTTAGCAATTTTAAGTCTATCAGGTGTTAGACAACGTGGTTTTGCAGTTATGGGCAGACCGATGGTTTATACATTATGTATGACATTGTGTTTTACAGGTTGATTAGGACTGGAAATCTGGTGATCTCAGGAAATTCTTCCAACATCTTATGAAATATGAAGTTGCCAGTTGTTATCTTAATGAAATAAATGAAGGTTCTAATAATTTGTCTGGAGAGTTCACCTTTATCTTAACGTCTGTGAGACACTTGCGTCTAAGATTTGGTACCAAATGGAAATGATACAAGAAATCTGTGCCTATTATTGCCATTGACATGTTGCAAATAAGAAATTTCTGGTGAAAAATTTTCTTTAGCCCAAAATTGAGAGTGAGTGTTTGCTGGTTGTAGACATGAATTGCAGTTATGTTTACAGCTGTCAAGGTCATTTGAGGTGCACACTTCTTTTGTGATGAGGAGGCTGGAAAGATTGATACATTGAAACCTGTGTCAATGAGAAAGTTTATGTTCATTCCCTTGTCTAGGATGAACAGGCAATGAGATTGTTCTGGCAAAGTGCATGTTACCTCTATGCTTCACTGCTCTTGTTTCTTGAAACTGCATGACGGAGTACATTTTTGTGCCTTTGCACCGAAATGGTTGTGGTATCAGCAGTAGTTGTTGATACTGTGGTGGGTTGAACTGTTGCAGTATCCTGAACTGCTGCAAGAGCATTGAGTAAAATGATCACTGCAATCCCGACGTGCCTGTGTTAATTTATTGATTGTTTCTACTAGTATTTTGTTGGTTACAGTTTTAGGTTTCTCAGGTTGCAACACTGAAGCTATTGTTGCTGAGGTTACTTCCATCACGCAATCTGCTACCTCTGCTGCTTTGTCCACATCGAGTGGGGGTAATGGCAGCTAGGATAGATTGGATGGAAGTCAGAAGGTGTTGTGTGAATAATTCTAGCATAACTGTATCTGGAATTTGAAAATTTTCCACCCAACACTTAAAACATGTAGTAGTTTGGAGGGTTTGCAATCTCCTAGCTGTTCTCCAGCCAATAGTTTTTGTAACTACTGTTGAGATGATTTGGTGGATCATTTAATAAGTTCCACCTTTATGTGACCGTATGGGTCTGTATGATCCAGAGAGATAATAAAGTCTCTAACCAATGATGTGACTTCTGGTAGTAAATGGGCCACTACTTAGTTGAACTTTGTGGCACTTTCGTGATTGGCTTTGGAGATCCTAGTGCAAATGTGCTTTCACACATGTGGAACTTCTGGTTCCACATGTGTTGGAAAAGTTGTGTGGAGGGATTTTTACTGCTCCAGTCTCGGCCATGATCTGATTACTGAAATCTTGAGGAAAGAGGAACAACATACCTGATGAAGGTTCCAATAGGTGGATTTCCTAGTTCTTAGTCAAATTACGTTCTTAGTCTGGCTCACCAATGTAGTGGTTCTACTATTATTGCTTTACTTTCGTCATTGTGCGTGATAAAAACAAATGGAACAAGATTTAACACAACTGAGTTTATTGTCTTCCTCATGTATATGGTACATGTCTCAATGGCACGGCTAACAAAGGAACAACTAACCAACAACCATCTCACTGGGTGAGTTTGAACTCTTCTAGGAAGTGATGACTTATACTACCTGGGGTTCGTTGCTTGTTTTTCACAATGGTTAAGATGTGAAGGGTAGCTTTTGGCACAACTTTAACAAGCTTGTTTATCCTGTCCTCAAAAATTCCTGTCCCTGATGTTGCCTCCACTCAATGATAGTTATTGCTTGTTCATCAGTAGTGACACAACGATCATATAGGTGTTTCCTCAAATGTGAGAAACCATAAAAGTTAGAAGGGCTGAACTGTATGAGAGAAATGATGAATATCCCATTGAAATGTCTGTAACAAATTCACATTCTTGTATGCCTTACATAGCTTCCAGATGTGTATATGGCATGGTATAGGACTTGTCATGGAGAAGTAAAAAGCTTCAGCTAAGGAATCTAAGATGTTTTTCCCTAATAGACTCTTTTAAGCTTCAGCAGGTAGCTTTTTTAACTCACAAAATCAAATAACTATTTTACATATACTGTACTTCTTTACAAGATCACTTTTCTAGCCTTGTCACCATTCAGAAATGCTAAATTATAACTGTTCACACTTATGCATCATTCTAATCATCCAAGTTGACATTCTATCTTCAGATCGACAAATGAGAATAATTTGAATGCAATTTGAAAAACTGTAGATCTCTAAATTTTCACAGCTGTCTGTCCTTCCTTAATCTTGAGAACTGAGTTAGATAGATGAAAGCTTTGGGGCAGGAGGCCCTGATTAACTATACACAAACTTCTGATGCAAACCAGAAGTCATGTTATTTCAATTTAAAACTTTTCCCCTGAAAGCTGTTAATAGATGACCAGCATGACTCCATTGCTAACGAAAAAGTATGATATACAGGGATAAGACACTACAGTATTAATTTGTGGTGGAGTACATTTAAAATGTACTCCACCACAAATGAATACATCAAAAATATGATTAAAAATTGTAGCCTGGCATTGTGACACTGTCACAATAAATAATTGCTCATTGACTGTTATTTTGTTTAGCCAACAGATCTTCTGTACCTGATAATGGAGCCATAAATAAATATATTTGTAAATGTAAGCATTGTGAAGCACTATAAATGTGACAATAAAACATTTTTCAAATACCTGTTTATTGCTTACTAACTTCCCATTTTTCAAATACCATGTTTATTGCTTATTAACTGTGTTCAGTGATACCGGGCATTCATTACAAACAAACTATTTTTGGATTTTGACGTCTCAAAAATCAAATGCACATTAGATTCAATGGTGCATTAAAATTGAGAAAATATGTTAAAACAAAATAAAAGTTTTCAAAAATATATCTAAGACACAGCTTTCCCACTGAAATAACTTTTGTCATCATAAATAAAATATCTTAATTTAAATATTAAGTATACAAAATTAAATGCTTCTTTTATATTTGAATGTTTGTTTTCTAACAAAAATCTGTTATTTAAATAATAAACGGAACATTGTCACTGTTTTAATAATTGTTCTCCCATACATAGATTATTGTTGTTCAGACAAAATATATTCAGTTCACATTTCATGATTAATTTACAATTCCTTTCAAATTTGGGCATCATTTTTTAAAAAGAGCTAACCTAACCATTTTCCTTTACTCAACCAAGCATTTAAATAAAAAAAGAACAAAAAATATATTTGTATTTATAAACAAACAAATTATTAAACTTATATTACACATTTTGTTATTTATAAAGAAAATACAAAAATCACTATGTAAGAAACACTTTACACTTATATAGTATATTTTAAGAAATTAGAATAAATTTTATTATTATCTATATCAATATTTTACCTGGAGGAAATGGAGGTCCAGGTGGAGCTGGAGGTGGAACAGGTGGCATTGAAGGAAGAGGAGGAGGTGGTGGAGGTGGAATTGATCCTTTAGTTCCTGGTGTTTGATTAATACCTGCTTTGGCATCATCTGAAAGACTTCCATTTTTGACTAGACTTTCTACTTGACTACGTTGTTGTCTTTCGGCTTCAAGCTATTAAAAATTTTTTGTTTATAAACAAAATAATGTTTTGCAAATATTTAGTATTTTTATACTGGACAATTCACTTTCAAAATATACAATTATTTTATTAGATTATATTATTTCATACCAATTGACTAAGTTCATTCACACGATATTCTAATTCAGCAATTTTTTGATTGGCTTCCAGGTGTCCGACAGTTTCCTTTTCAAGTTTAGTTTTCATTTTATTCATGCTAACTTGTAAATCTTCCTAATAATTAAATATTTTCTTTTAATTTTAAAATATTTATAGAGTATTATCTAAGAAATTTAATTTGTATTATTAAAATTTTTATAAAATTAAATATAATTCAAATAAATTGTATTAATAAGTATATCATATGTTAAATTTTTAACCTTTTCTTGCAATTGCTGTTCTAGTTCTTGCTCTTTTTTGCAAAGCTGGCAGCTTAATTCAGCATTTTCTTTTTCCATAGTTTCAGCTTTCTCTTTTGCAGACCTTAATTCTTCTTCAGTAGCAAGTCTTGAATGTTTAAAATTCAAATAATTCAAATAATACTCATAACATATAATTTAGAATTTTAATAAATACTATCACTATTTAAATAATAATATTACAAAAATTGTCTTACAGTTGAACTATTTCTTTAACATTTATTTGCAATGGAGCAATGTCAGGATTATCTCCATTTTCACTTTGAAGAATAATTTGTTGAATAACACGATCAAAAAGTAACCAATGTTGAGGACAAGCACCATAGTCCACTAAAACATTTCAAAGTGTAAAAACTATGAAATTATTTAAACTATATGTAAAGTCAAAATATCTGCATATTAATGAAATTAAAACCATTCACTTATCATAATAAGCAGAAATTTTAACTAAATTTAAACATGATGCCAAGTTTAGTTCATTTTGAAAATTAAACTGTATTACTTGTCATGAAAAACACAATTAAATCAAAAATTAATCATTAAAATAAGAGATACAATATTATTACACAAATATATAAGTAATAATTAAATATTACATTTGGTAAAACTGCATAATATTTTTGATTGAAAGGGTTTGAATTTTTAAAAACAAAATAATAATAAACTGAAATCTTTAAAACTTTGGATATTTAGTTGGATTATATACAGATATAAGGAAGTATGCAATTTACTAATATTATATATAAATCTAAGCTGAAAACAGAACTCACAAGTAGCAGCATGGGTTCTATTTTCATTGATCATTTGGTGTAAGTTTAAACTTACACCAAATGATTAATTTTCACTTGTAAAAATGATAAAAATTTGCATTTTAAATTTATAGTATAAAATCAGTTGTATGTTAAACCAAAAGAATTTTTTACAAATGTTTAAAATAGCTAATGTTTTATCTTTTCTGTAACATCCTATAAATTAAACTAGACTAATTTCCATTAGTTTAGGTTGGTTTACAAAAAGTCCGTTTTATTAGAGCTCACTCATAGGCTCCAATAAAGCAGATTTGTTGTTATAAATCATCATTATTCTCAGAGCTGTCAAGAGAAGATACTTGGGATTTTTCCCTAGGCCAGGAACTTAAGAGCCATAGTGATTTCTACCCCATAAAATTAATGTTATTTTTACTAACAGAAAATAAAATTTTTAGAACTGCTTTCCATTAATAAAGAAACATTCTACATACTTCATTTGTTCAAAAAACAAAAGGCTAAAGCAGCCCATTAATTGGCAAAAGGAGCCCACTCTATTCCTGGCCCCCCATACAATCTCTCAACAGTCTGATCATAGCATTAGCAGTTTTTGGCATCCTTGGCAAACACTTAAAGTGATACATCTTTTTAACTTTATTTTAAGTAGCAGAATAATGAAGCTATATATATTGTAAGAAATAATTTTATTATAAATAAGAATTTATTATAGAAAAACAAAACATAACTTCAAAATAAAATATTCAATATGTACAAGCTGGACCTGAATAGCATACCTATAACTCTGACCTTCAGATATAGATAGAGCCACAACTTTTTAATTAATATTTCATAAAAATACCTGACCATTTGTATACATAACCTATGTACAATACATGTTACATGCGCAACTGATTAATATATAAATGGTCTGCTCATCTGCTGCTAAATTTCCTAAGGTTATTGAATTAAAATATTGTAGCTCAATCTAAATCTGAAAGTCAGAAATATAGGTAAATTATTCAGGATCACTCTCTATTCACATACATTGAGAGGAAATGGCAGTGATGCATTGGAGCAGCAAAGGACGCCTGATATTTTTAGTTTTTTTAGTCCACAGTGCATAAATGTTTGCAAGACATGGTGGATGCTTGGTGTTCCTCATGCCTCACATTTTTGGAACTTGCTCCATTGTGAATGTTTTGCTACAGTTCTGCCCTGATTATTCTTACTGCAATTTATTATAAAAATTTTGTGATTTGTTATTTGAATTTAGAGAGATTATTCTACATTCAATTCAAATCTAGTTCTTTACACTATGTATTTGTTTTTACAATACTTATTAATAAATTAAATGCTATCCTTTCTTTGTACGTTTAATTAAAGTGTCAAGCATTAACACCACAAGACAGAATATTATGATAATTGAATGTGTTGCACATAAAATACTATATTCATATTTTTCAAGCAATCATAACTAAATCTTCAGAATATGCACAAATTAATTAGATATTATAAATCTATAACATCTAGTTAGCAAACTTAGATAATATTTTTATAGATTTAAAAATATTCTTGATTAATTCATGATTATTATTTTGTAATTGCATTTTGTAAAATTGATATATTTATTTGTATTTTATCTCAAGAATAGTTTCTATACTAAAAATCTGAATTTAAGTAACTTCATAACCAATATAATCCAATATACTATGTAATGATATAATAATTAACTTTTAAAAATTTCTATATGACATCATTAAACTGTATTTTGGATAATGTCATTCAATATCAAATTTCAGTGTGTAAACTATCATTGAGACAACATATAATTCAATATATGATTTTTTTCATTTTATATTATAATCAATCATGATGTAAATCCTTCAGATCATTCATTTAGACCTGTTTTGAGTCATGAATACAGAAATCTCAAAATGCAATCTTCAAACTACATATTTTAGATTCTTAATTTATATCATACAATGTATATACAGTTGACCCCCCTATAATTACGGTCCCTATAATTACGATTCCTATAAAACTACGAAAAAATATACGTATTTTGGAAATGTTGAGTCGGATTAGTGTAGAATCGATTAATTTTATGGAAGAAAACCTTTCAATCACCGTAGTCCGTAAACTTGACACGTGCCGGGCTGTGATTGGAACGACTTGTAAGAAATCGGATTCCTAATAAATTGGAACGTATCTATATCTTATAGGGGGGGTCGACTGTATTCATAACATTACTCATTTATTATATCATGTTTGCATACATACTGTAGATGTACAAATATGTCTGCAAACATGAATGTAAATACAGCTTAATTCTAATTTCATATTCACACTGGACAAACTCCAAATACAGTGGTACCTCAGGATACGAAATTAATCCGTTCCGAAACTGAGATCGTATCATGAAAATGTCATAAGGTGGATCATCTTTTCCCATACGATTACATGTAAAACCAAATAATTCGTTCCAACGCGAAAAACATACTCAAATTAAAGCCAAGTAATACATTAAAAAAAATAACTGTAGTAAGAAAAACAAATGAAAAATGCGAACTAATGTAACGTCGTATGGTGAGTTTTTGTTCGTATCGTGGAGCAAAAATATGTTCGAATTTCATGTCGTATCCTGAAAATTTCGTATGCTGGGGCGTTCGTAACCTGAGGTACCACTGTATTAAAAACTTATATAATATAATATAGTTATATAATAAAAACTAGAGATCATTTTCTTAGTTATTTCTTTTTGTAGATTTAAAATAAATTATTTAATGCATTACTTGTTCATTCTCTTATTCCTTCATTAAAATTTTTACTACACTCGGCAATTAATTTTAAAGATTGCATGACTCGAAAATCACATTGAACTCATCACCATTAATATTTGTCCACTTTTGTTTTATATATACATTTGTAATCCTATACAGAGTATGAATATAGTTATATGCTAATTGTAACTTTATTTTTTATCATCTAAATTTTTTTGTATAAAGCATTATCTTAAATATTAAATAAATTAATTAAATTTTACAATTCTAAAGAATATAATCTTTCATACTTAGAAAATTTACACTTTTTTAATAGTAGTAAACTATTTTAGATTATTATTCTAATAGAAAAATTTGTATTATATACTTGTATCAAATATCTAACACTAAGTTTTTCTATTAGAATAACACTATTAAACATTAATAAATAATTTATTTTATTAAAGAATCAATTATTTTACAATATAAAAATGCTATATTTAAGTACAGTGTGTGACTGCATTCATAGCTTATCTTAAAACATACATTGTAAATGAACAAATGTTATTTATTTATTACATTCAATGCCAAATAATGGTAAGTGAGTGCCATTTACCAATCTGATTTTGAATATGATCCCTAGTCAGACATTATCAATGTCTTTAAACTCTCTGGATTCTGAAAAATAAGATCATGCATGGTCATTCAAAACTTACATGACCATGCATGATCTTGACATGAAAATTGAATACATTGACCATGCATTCAAATTTTTGCATATATTCAAATCTTGGGCTTAAAGGTCTTGCATGACTTGTAGTTTATAAGGATAGAAGTGAGGATCCTGATGCAAAATTTTCTGAATGATCCATCTGAAATCTGCAAAGCTGCAGTATGTTACTGAGTAGATCATCTTGGGCTCCATGTGATTGCATATGAAGTTTCAATCATTGCCAGTGTCTGCACTGTTCTTTCACTCAATCCTAGTTTATTATTACAAACAGATGGAATAGATCTAAAGCAGTCATGAGCAACCTGCAGCCTACAAGATCCTATACATACCCCAGGGCTTTGGTAATGTTATTTTATTTTCCTGTTTTCTGTCTCATGCCATTATGCAACTCTGATTAAGTTGATGATCATGACAAAGAAAATTCAAACTAAACTTCACTAGTGAAAAGATGAGAATAAACTATAAACAGTCAACTTGCATAATAGAAATCACTATATATTGTAGTTTGCTTCATTCAAAATTCATATTAACAATTTTCAGGATCAAGGTCAAGGTTGTATGATTTACAGAATTAAGGATTAACAGGCAATAGAAATCTCTAAATTATAATATTTTGAATTAATTTATTAAATAAAATTAAATTTATTTACAAAAATAAATTAATGATCTAAATGATTTTTAAATCAAACAAACTGAGGAGAGACAGTATTTGCCATTTAAGTGTGGAGCAGTATATCGGAGTGATTAAACAAAACAAAGCTAAACCAAATCTGTGATCTTTTCTCTGTTGAAGACTGAAAAAGTAGAAAATATTTTTTGGTGCCATAAGAGTAAAAAAAGGAACCAAAGTACTGTATACACCCCCCATGAAATACAAATTAGCATGTTTTCATGGGACCACATCCATTTAAAAGGGTGGAAGTCCTTAAACTTTAACCCCTATTTTCTGAATACAGTAAAATGGTCTGCTAAAACCATATGTTTAAATTGCTCTACAATTGGAGGTTGAACACATCTTTGCTTACTTTTCTTTTCCTGGTATTCTTATCAGGAAAAGAAAATTATTCTACTCAAAACAGAACATTTATTACAGTACTCCTTTGCTTTATACACTTTTTGACGTTGGTAATAAAATCATTATTGGAAATAGGATTATTCCTTGAGGATTTTAAAGATAATTTACAGTTTGATTTAACAAAAGTTTTGTTCACTTTATCATATGAAAATTAACATTGTGACAATGACATAATTTGCTTTAACATGCGAACTTGCTTTATCAATGTTTGTTTTAAGTCAAATTGACTGTATTACTAGTTTGCATATCATTAGAATATATAATTTTAGTACCTAGTGTAGTGGCAGTTATGGAGTATGATGATATTCAACAAACTTAAAACCTGCAACTCCACAAGAAAAAATGTGTACCCTACCAGAAACTTACAAAGTTCTCGCAGCCATCATTCAGAAAAGATTACTTATCACTGATCTAAAGGAATGGACTAACTTATGATAGTGTGAACATCTGGTATGTTTCCATGATGACCTAAGTCGAAGGGTTACTTAAATATACATTCTGTAGCAAGTACACAATCTTGTTATTTTTTTAACTATGTCTCTAATACAAAACCATGTTATTCTGTGGCTGTCTTTTCCATGTAAAATGGCAGCTCAATGACAATATCTTGCTACTAATATTGCCATAAATTGCATATCAATATATGCTATGAATGCAACCACATTCTGTAGTACTAAACTGAAGAGGCTTATTACAATTATATAGTTTTTTCTATTTTTTGTTGTTTTTTTCATGTCATTATATGTTAAAATACAATGTAAATAATTATTTAAAAGAAATAATTTACATTCTAAAATTCCTTTTGAATTTCATTATCTATTTAATTATAAAAAAAATAATTACATGGAAGGAGTAAGCTGTGTTGCAATAAAGACATAAAATGAGGATAGGCTGCTGTGTGTGTTAATTTTTTCCTTAATACATCAAACATTCCAGTTGCACTTTTTGTATCTACATGTACCTAAATAAATATATTTTTAATTAATAATAATTAAACTTCTAATAAAACTAATTTTAAAAATTTCAAAATCTTAATAATCTGTCTTTCCTTGAAATAACATAGATAATATTAAAAATCAGAAAATATTTCACAAAAATTAATGTATTTCATGACACATCCCCAATATTTTAAACATGGTTAAATTCTGCTTTATTGTGCTAATACATTATTTTGAAGAATGTGAAGGGAGCTTTTATATAACTCTAGGGAAAATAAGAAAGAAAAAATATTAATCATAAAAACTAAAAAATAAAAAAATATAAAGATGACAGTTGTGAAAGCAGTAACTTATATGGTGTCATTGAAAGGAAGAGATGAAAATAAATGTTGTGTAGATGCAATAAGTCTAAGGACTGGATTGAAAGAACATATGGAAGATTGTAAGAAAGGAAAAATGACTACTGCATTTATGGAACAAGTGTTACAGAAAGACGATGAAGTTAAAAGAAAAAGAAAGCAGAAATTTTAGAGATATGAGACAATAAAAACAGTGTATGCACAGAGGATCTCAATTTGGAAGAAAAATAAGGAATCAGTTTTAGTCAACAGTAAAGACAGAGCTAGCTTAGCAGCAGCTTTGAAGTGTATACGAAGAAAAAGATTTAAAGAAAGATTGTAAAGTTTAAAGAAATTAATCTTGAATGCACAGCTTCAAATAAATTTAATAAAACTGTACCAGCAAATTTACAGTTTACAATATAATCAATAAAGAAAAATAATGTTTTATATTAATATAGATATAATTTTAAAATAAATTTTTATTAAAATTCTATGATAAAAAATAAATTATTATAAACATTTTACCATGTCAAATTTCCTTCCCATTTCTTTTTCATCCTCATTTCTCACCATTTCAAATATATCTAAATGCCTAAAGATAAAAATATATATATATATATATATATTTTAATAAAAGACAAGTTGTAATTAAATTATTTCTATCTCCTATTAAGAAGTAAATTACCTATCTAAAGTTGCATTTTCATGTTTCCGGAGCTTATCAATTGCAGGTTGAATGCCAAGCATGAGAAATTCGTATCTTAAGTGAAGGCGAAACTCTAAATGATCTTCTCCAGGACCATAGTTCATAATGGCATTTATAAAAGACATAATTGCAGTTTTTAAATTTACTTCATCTTGATAGATGCCTGTACTCCTATCTAAATCATTAACAATAGTCTAGAAAAATAATATACCAGACTTAAGCAAAATATTAATAATTTCCTACAGTTCAATATAAATTAAAACCATACCTGAAATCGCGTGCGTTCAAAAGCAAATTTCTGAAAATGTAACATTGCTTCTAATACTTTCCGATGGCCTCCAGGAACTAAACAAACGGCACCTAATATTTCTAAAACAGCTATTTTAGTTTTAATGTTTTCTGAACTCAAACTCTGAGCAATTGTATTAATGGCAGTTGGATGGGCAAGTACGTGAGCTCTTCCATTCTAAAAAACATAAAATGTTAAATATCATATAATTATAACAATATTTAAGCATTTAAACATAATCAAATAAAGGAAAGAATTATTATAAGTAATAAAAAATAATTTATACATACTGAATTATTCATTAATGCTTTTACACAACCAATTAATGATGTATGAATAGGACTTTGAGATGTAGCATAATCCATATTTTCTAAAAAACTGAGTAAACAGGATAGGCCATCTTGTTCTAAAAACCTCATAACAAAACTATAATAATAAAAAAATTATTCAAAATTAGCTTTTAATAAATGAAGCCAAAGCGAAAAACAAATATTAAAAGAGATTGACCTATTAGGTTGTGTTCGAAGTGCAGTTTTTAGATTGTCCAACATTTTTGCCCTTACCATCACTTCTTCTTCCTCTCTTGGGAAGAGGAGCTGCAATATAAACAATAATTTTTTTTTTATTTTGTAAGTTAATAAATGTAATTAATTACACCAGCTGGAGATGATTACTTAAATTATTTTTCTCAGATTAAAGATTTTTGTTAAGGGAAAAAGAAATTAGTTTTTGCCCTTACCATCACTTCTTCTTCCTCTCTTGGGAAGAGGAGCTGCAATATAAACAATAATTTTTTTTTTATTTTTAAAGTTAATAAATGTAATTAATTACAAAAAATATAATCTAATTAATAGTTAAATATTGAAATGTTATCACACATACCATGGACATAGAATTTACCCTTTCGATATAATAATCTGGAAAATGTGCTGTTGATTCCACTTGTTCCTAAATAAAATTTTATGGCATTATAAATATTTAAAAAGTTTCTCCTTGATAATTTTTAATTGTTTAATTTATTACTTTTAAATGAAATTTAGTAATTTTACAATTTTCTACAATCTCAGGTTATCAGAAAGTTATGAAATATATTTTGTAACTTTTTATTATTATATATATNAACAATATAAAAATGGCAGCTTACTTCTTTGTTTTTTTGTTTATTGAAGTATAAAATTTAAACAAAGTAATTTTTTTTTATAAAGACATAATTATTTACTTTTGTGTGAAAAGATTGTTATTTTGAAACATGCAAAAATTGAAATTTCTGTATAACAACAGAAACAAAAAAATTAATAAATAATGAAAAGCAGATTATTATTTTCATTTGTCATTAATTCTTTTCTCTTTTATTACAATAATGATCTCATTGTTAGTGGTTGAAAATTGGAAAAATCCAAGAGTACTCTAAATATGATATAGAAGTTTCCATAATTGGACCACAATGCACTGAAGTGTCTTATTGAGATGATTAGATAGACATCACAAGTATTGATTTATCTAAATCAGAGTTTCCAACCAGATTGCAAATCCTATTACTCAATAATGTTGTAGACTTCCATCATACTGAACAAGAATAACTAACTAGTTTAGTTAAAAAACACTTATTTAGATAACAAAGCTTTGAATAAGAATCAAAATGGACAAATAACTGCAATATATTTATACTGTATGGTAAAACATAAACAGTGTAGTGGATGGAGCTAGATAGGACCAAAGAGCAAGATCCCTAAGGGATCAGAATGGGATTTTCAGCTGAACAAAAGTGAGATACAAGGTCAAGTTGTACAATGCTTGAATGGTGAAGTTGTGTTTTATTAATGTGTCTATGTTATTTTGGAGTCATGTTCTGATTATTTATAAGATTGTACCCAAGAACTAGAAAACTATAAATAGCTTTGAATTTAATTTGTTATTTTTATAAACAATTATTAACTAATAGTTAAATGATTATTAAGAAATTTTGAATTTCTAAAACATTTACTTGTTTCAAATTTTATATTTTTATTCAATTATAAACAGTTCTTACAGACTTTAAATGCAACAATATTGACATAGTAATTATTGCAATTAAAATACAGTATAACAACTTTTTATATAATACTGTATATACAAATTCTTAATACTGATTCTTCTTGTATTATTCAGATCGCTTTTTGTCAATTGACTTATTTCCTATGTTTCATGCTAGAACACTTTTCCTATAGATGGACTTATCAAACTGGATAGCAATAGGACAGAATGGCCTTGAGACATAATTTTCTTTTATGTATTTATTATAATAAGCATTTCGGACCTAACAGGTCCCTCTGCAGTCATGCTACATAATCTCTTTATGGATTTCTAGGTATATGACCATACATTCTTAGTTTTATAAATTTACAGGCTACATCTCACTTACACATCTGCATTTACTTTGCCTTTGGGTGTGTTTCCCTCCGGCTCACAAATATGTGTTAGTTTGATTCTTTTTTCATTCCCTATCTGTTAGGAAACCCTCACAAGATTAATGTATATGTAAGCCTGTATTTTTCTTTATTCATTTATTACTATCTATATTTATAATTTCTAAATGTTCAAATACTTTTTGTTTAAACATATTTTTTTGCATTTTTGAACTTTTGTAGTTTCTTTTATTTCACATCTATTTTCGTTAGTGTTTAGCAATTGCAGATTTATTGTCATTATTTTTTATTGCTCGGATGTGCTCCCCAAATCTTGTTTGGTGTTCCATCTTGGTTTCCCCTATATAAATGTGGTGTGATGTGAGATGCAAATAGAGTTACAAAATACAACTATATATAAGAAATATCTTTATTTTGCATGAATTCATACAGGTTTTTCTCTGTCTGAATTCATGCAAAATTTTCTGTCCCATTCTCTTGTCCCAGTACAAAAGTATAATACAAGCCATACTACAATTTTTATCAGGTTGTTATCAGTTCTATTTTCACGACACAATCAATTCCCATCTTCAATAATTTTGCAATACATATATTATAACTATAATTACAACTAACTACGGCTAATTACAACTAAGTGAGGGAGAATTTAAGAATCAGAAACCAATGATAGAATAGAGGGCAGAGGAAACTGGGTACCCAAGTACTGTTGATAATCTTGGGGTGGTGGATTTCCAGAACGCTTGTTCTTTTGGAGTTGTTTGATAGTTCTTATTCCTTCTCAGTTCACTTCGATGGAAATCTTGGAGCTCAATAATTTTTCTCAATTGAATTTTTCTTGATTCTTTCATCTGACTTCTCTATGCACTGCCGAAATGCACTAGAGCAGTGGTTCTCAAAGTAGGTTCCGCGGAACCCTTGGGTTCCATGAAGCAAGGTCAGGGGTTCCGTGAAGCTACATTGAAAAGCAACATTTAATCGTAACATAAGAAATTGGTACATATCATATCTTATAACATCAATGAATTCCCACTGACAGCAAGTGTTGCCAGACTAGATTATTCAGAGTTGGCAACATTGGTGATGGCTGGCTTTATCGGTTAGTTACACACGTGCAGTAAGGTTGTGCTGCTCTACTGTTACCGTAAGCATTTCTTCTACTCAAATTATTTTTACTATTTTTAATGCCCTACAATGGATCAGTGGTTAAAAAGGATTAGTAAAGCAACAACATCCAAAGAAGATACAGAAAAAGATGAACTTGCAAAGGAACAATCTGCAACTAGTTCAAAAAACATGGAATATGTTCCCTCTTGTTCTGAACGGCAGCCAGGCAAAAAGAAACGCAAGTATGATCCTCAGTATTTGTCATATGGCTTTACTAGTACTGGTGATGAAGAAGCCCCAGACGCCATTTGTATACTTTGTCACACAAGATTAGCTAACAGTTCGTTGGCACCAGCAAAGTTGCAAAGACACATGGAGACCAGGCATAGTGTCTATAAAAATAAGGATAAATCTTTTTTTGAAAGGAAACTTGAAAGTTTCAATAAAACTACAAATTTCATGGTGAAGAAATGCAGAACAGACAATGAAAATGCAACTGAAGCATCATATAAAGCATCTTACCATATTTCTCTTCATGGCGAAGCACACACTATCGGTGAATCATTGATAAAACCTATATTGAAAGATATAGTTTCATGTGTATTTGATGAAAAGTCTGCTCAAAAGGTTGAATCTATATCTCTATCTAATGATACAGTGTCGAGGCGTATTGCTGATATTTCTGATGACATTGAAACCGAACTTATTTCACGACTGCATGCATGTGATGCTTACGCGTTGCAAATGGATGAGTCTACAGATGTGGCTGGACTGGCAATTCTACTTGTGTTTGTTAGATATGACTTCAATAAAAGAATTGAGGACAATTTTCTTTTCTGTAAAAGTTTAGAGCTTCATACCACAGGAAAAGATATATTTGATTGTGTTGATAATTATATAACAAATCATGGTATTGGTTGGGATAAATGCATTTCAGTGTGCACTGATGGAGCGAAGGCTATGATGGGAAAATTATCTGGTGCTGTAACTAGAATAAAAAATGCTGCAAAAAACTGCAGCAGTAATCACTGCATTCTTCACAGATACGCATTAGTGACAAAAAGAATTTCTGCTTCATTAAAGGTAGTTTTGGACGAAGCCGTACAAATTATCAATTTTATTAAGACTCGGCCATTACAATCAAGAGTATTTAAAGCTTTATGTGAAGATATGGGTAGCCATCAAACGACTCTTCTTTTACATACAGAAGTAAGATGGCTTTCAAGAGGAAATGTGCTGGTGAGAATGGTTGAATTGATAAAAGAATTGCAGTTTTACTTTCTTGAACATAAATTTAATTTGTCTGACAGATTAAAAAATAATGTATGGCGAGCAAAACTTACATATTTAGCAGATGTTTTTTCAAAGTTGAATGAAACATGCCTATCTCTACAAAGAAAGGAAACAAACATTTTTCGAACTCAAGATAATATGATATCTTTATCTCGTAAATTACAGTACTGGATTTCAGAAGTAGAACATGATAATTTTGACTGTTTTCCACTTCTTACTAAATTTCTACAAGAGTCTGAAATGGAATTGGACACAGAGACACTCGATGAAATTAAAGATCATCTCAACAGCTTATCCTCATCTCTTACCGAGTATTTTCCTAACTTGGAGTACAAAGAATATTATTGGGTACAAAATCCATTCACAGTAACAAAAAAACCAACAGGATTTCTGTCAGTGGATTATGAGAAATTAATAGAAATTACATCCGATACTCAGTTAAAGGCTAAATTTGAAGAAGTGCCGTTAGATGTATTCTGGGGGAATCTACTTGAAGAATATCCTGAAATATCCAAACAGGCCATAAAAATACTTTTGCCTTTTACGACGACATATTGGTGTGAATCAGGATTTTCAAGATATGCTAGCACGAAAACTAAGTATCGAAGCAGACTGGATGCCGCCCCAGATATGAGAATCCAGTTATCAAGCATAAAACCAAATTTCCAGAGGATACTTACGTTAAAAAAACAGATGCATTCATCTCACTAAAATTTAATATTCCAATTTATGGTGTGATTCAAATAAAATATTTCTTTTATTATAATAAGTATTAATTTAAATAAGGGTTCCATTATATTACAAATAATGTAAAAGGGTTCCATTGCAAAAAAAGTTTGAGAACCACTGCACTAGAGAATCCACTCCTTCTGTCCTATCTCGTCGGAGTCCCAGCCAAGAATGACCGTTGATTATACACATCACCCTCAGGGCCACATTCCTCTCTTTTGTTCCAAGGGATTAGTCACCACCACCCAAGAAGAAAGGGTTGAGAAGGAAATTTCTAGAAGGGAGAAACAATAGACAAAGGAAAAAAAGGAAACTATATAGAAATTAAAATAAAATTTATCGCTACTTTGGAAGAAAACTCAACCAGCACAACTCAAAATTACTAGTTTTGAGAAAATCCCATGCAAAGATTTAACCAAAGTTTAACTGAATATCACTTATCTCCCACATAACTGCTCTCTAGTGGCCGAATATGCAGGTTACTTTTGTGACATTCTTCCACATAAAAATTTACTACATTTTCGTTTTGATTATGACATAATCGAAAAATCGCACTTTTTTGAGTTATGCCAGTTTTCTTCCAAAGTAGTGATATATATATATATACTATGGCATACAGCAACAGTGGAAATCAGTGCAATTGCACTCCAGCTTTTGTATAATATTGATTCTGTTCCATATTCCTTTTTAAGGTTCATTTTCTTTATTTTAAATTTTTTTGACTAATTAATTATGCTGTTCTGGTACTAATAGAATACCACTTTTCCTAACATTATTTTTCATTTTTCAAATAAACCAGATACATATATCATTTCAATAAATTTCATATCCTTGGTATTTTCTCCATTCGGTATGGAATTTGGATGTTTTTTTAACCAACTATTAACGATTTTTCTGTTATACTCATTAAGTAAATACAATTTTATGATGTTATTTATTTCATTTTCTTGATCCTTTGGATTGGTTGTTCTTTCTATGATTTTCTTTATAAACATATTGAATGTGTTCTTTTTGACAAGCATTGATATTTTTGATGTATAATGTATTACTTTATTGGCCTTACTGCCTTTTTTTATGCTTTTTAATATAATACTTATATTGCTGTTTTTTTCCCTAGTTATTAGTACATCTAAATACGATAAATTATTATTTTCTTCATTCACTACATAAAATTTTATTTCATTATCTATACCATTTATTATGTTTTTAATTTTATTTATATTTGTATTTTTATTGTTATAAACTATAAAATAATCATCAACATAGCAAAATATCACTTGTATTCCTTTTATTTTAGCTACAATGTCTATTTTGATCATACTTAGTTCAGCCAATCTAGGTCCTGTACATGTACTCAGAGGGATGCTGTCTTTTTGCTTATGCCATTTATTATTGTATTCAAAATTATTATTATCTAAGACTAGAATTATTAATTCATTTAACCGTTCTGGACTTTTAATATTATCTAATGTCTCTTTGGTTTTATTTTTACTGATGGATGGGTACATATTTTTTACGTCTAGTGATGCTAATCTAGTGTTTACATCAATTTTGATTTTCTACAAAATACAATTCTTTATTCTTTTCAGGAACTCATCTGCATTTGGTATGTTATGCTGTGATACCTCAAATTCTTTTAGCTTGTTCTTAATAAACAATTCCAAGTTGTCTAGGGTGTAGTTTTTAATGTCAGTCAGTAGTCTGTAGTTTACTGGATTTTTGTGTTTTTATTCTAATGGAATATTTTGGTGTTCTATTATTTAATTTTAATATAGTTTTTTTGTTTTCGGATATTCTGTTTTTGGCCTTTAGGATTTTAACAACTTTTTTAAGTTTTGAATTATGCCTTGTGTTGGATTTGTTGGCAATTCAAGATAATTGCCTTGATTTATTATTTCATGTAATATTCCATCATAATGTATATACATAATAATGTAGGTGCATATACCTAATATAATATAAAACATAACAAAAATGATGCAAGATTTAACTAAATTTATTTGGAAAGTTGAAAAGAACTTTGAAGAGAGAGTTCAAGAGTGCATATACCTAGAAATCCACAAAGAGATCTATGTATCATGACTGAAAAAGGAGCTGTTATGCCCAAAATGCATATCATAATAAATACATAGAAGAAAATTCTGTCTTGTCATTCTGTCCCAAGGCTGTCCAGTTTGATAAGTCCTTCTATAGGAAAAGTACGCTAGCACGAAACATAGGAAACCGATTCTTCTATTTAAATAGCAAATTTCTTCAATTAGTCAAACTGCAGTTAAGAAAATGTATATATATTTTCTGGACTAAGTATCTTGGTATAAATATATAATCAAAGCCATAATTCAAATTTTGGAAGTCTAGATTGAAAGATTTATGTTTGGATTTGGTTTGGATTTAAACTGAACTCCTGAATGGTGATGTAAACCCAAAAGCATTTTGGGTTTACATCACCATCTTCAGGAGTTCATATAATCACATATATCTTTGGCTGAATTTTATAACTATGCTGCCATAAAATGACTGTTATATACAATGCAAAAATATTACAGATTATTACCCCTTGCAAGTATTTCCTAATATAACCAAATCAGTAAAAAAAAAATCAATAAAAGTAATTAAAGTATGAAAACAATTTTTATTTAATTCAATTACTGAAACATCTATAAAAATCAGTTCTTAGATGTGTTTGTTTTCCATAATTCTATTTTAAAACCTTATCATTGTATTTATTCTATTTAATTACTGCAATAACATAATTTTGTGTAAATATTCACTTAAACTTTGTATGTTTTCTCTTATTACTTTATTCTCTTAAATTATTTTCTTAATGAATTCATTTTCTCTCATATATTTTTAATAAAAATTTTTTCTATTTAATTATTTTAAAATCATTTTCATAAATTTCTTTTTCTATGTAAATATATTAAATGGAATATTTACATATGAGATTAGAATTAAATTATAAAATCAATTAATTAAATGTTAATATCATTTTCTAATATTTTTACTAATACTAGTAATAAAAACATCAGTTTTAGGTATATTATTTTGATTTTACTTATGATATATAGAATTAATTGTCTTGTTTTCTATGAAACAATGTTAGAAAATATAATTTATTTTCAAGAAAAAATAAATTTCTTCTTATTTTAGTTTATTCTCAATGTGCTAGATAACATTGTTTCTTCAAACAAATAAACTTATTTTAGACTTATATTATCAGAATGTACAGTACTACATTTTATAGAATGTACAATCAAGAATGTAACAAGATTTCAATGTATGATGTATGACAAATATTAGTAATGCTTTTACAATTTATTATTATAATTATCTATATAATATCCTCTTTAATATATGTGTGAACCTGCTATAATTTAAGTTATACATTAAATATTTAGATCTATACCAACAAAGAACTTATTGATACATATATCATACAAGAAATTTTTTTTAACTTATACACTTTAATAGAAACATGATTATATGAAAGATTATCAGTCCTGCCTTTTCATCATTACATACAATAGCCTACAATATGAATAATGTAATATATATTTAACAGGAAATAAATATCTAGTATATCAAAAAAAATTAAGGTTAAAACTTTGTAGTGTCAATTACACAACATTAACATTACTACTGAAAAAAGATATACAGAAAAATAATAAAATAGAGGAGTGAAAAAAAATTAATTTTAGAAGAGTTAATAATATATGGCAACATGTTTAATTAAAGATAAAATATTGTTTTTAAATAGATGATATTAAAGATAATTACATTTCCTTATTCAATTGATATTTTAAATCTACAATAAGTTATTTCATTCTAACTTATTATATAAATTATACTTCATTCTAATTTTAAAAATATAATAAATATTGTGGAGAATGTAAACCAAAAAAGAAGAGCTATCATCATTCTATGAAACATTTGAAATTAAATTATTAAATTTAAAGCGTATAATATATTAAGTTTAATAATTAAATTTAAACTTAAAATATTGTTTTAGAACAACTGATAAATAATTAATAATGTTATTGTAAAGTTTTAATTCATAGGTCTATAGTTTGAAAAGAATTTGGCTTGGTATTGTTTAGATAGTACAACTAACAATATACATTCCAAGGATATGAATTATGAGTTCAAGCTCTGCTCCAAATATTCTTTATCAAATGATTCTACATTGTTTACAATATAAAAAATTAAAAGTAAAATAACAATCAATGCAAGGCAGTTAACTAAAATCCTAATTTCTGCCAGATTATTATGTAACTATTATATAACAAGGAGATCCAATTATCCAAGTAGAAATATAATTTATGGAATCAAAAATACAGTAAATTATACTAAATAAAAACATTTAATCTTTTTTAAATTTAATAAAAGAACTCAAAGAAGCTAATCATAATAAAAATTTGTAAATATTTTATATCACTTAATGAAAGCTTACTGTTTTTTTGCTTAAGTATAATTGCCATTTCTTCTCAGATGGAAGATTAAACATTACTTCTCTTTTAGCTGCTGTTAAATCTAGTTCTTCCTGTAAAGAACAAATATACCAACATTGAATTAAAAATAATCATCATTGTTATTATCATTATATTGTATGTAAAATAATTTTAACTTTTTTATTAAAAAATCTTATTAAATATCTTATAAAAAGAGTCCTTACAACTAATTCTGCAAATTTTGCATTTAACTCTTCTTCATCAGGCATGGGTTGAGTCGGAGTAAGAGGATGAGGTTGTAAATTTACAATTCCACCATTTTCTACTACGTGATAGGTAATTTCCGGCGGCTCGTTGCTGCCGAAGCAACCGCACAAACCTTTTCCTCTTCTGTGTGCCGGCATCTTGTTTAGATGATCAGACACGGTCAACACTAAATGCTAGACAAATTAAAATATATTTTAAGTTCGCACGCAATCAATATTTTACAAACTATTAATTTCTTTATCAGAAAAAACCAAAAATTTCTTTTCTTCCCTATCCATTGTTAATAAATATTTTGCTATAAATTATCAGTGATAATTTTTTAGCAAAATATTTAACTTAAATATTTAATTGAAAAACATTAAATAAATAAAATAAAATAAATTTAGACTATTATGTGATAAATCATGTAATAAATTTATCAATAAAATCCAAGAAAAATTCCATATCTAATCTATGAAACAAATTACATATGTAAGTTTATTCATCTTAGCAAGCAATCTTTATTTGAAAAAGCAATAAACTGAGTATTTGTATACATTTTGATACCAGTATCATGTCTAAAATTTTTAATTTTTGGAATATAAATCAATAACTACAACTTTCAGACTTACTTAACTACCATAACAAAAAGTTTCATTTAAAATTGTAAACACTAAAAAATCATCATACATGTGAATTCAGTTTATTAATTATGAATACAGATAGAATACTACAGACAAGCTATGCTAGATATTAATTATTTCAAGGCAATATACACAATTATGCTTATTCTTAAATATAGCTTACATCTTAATAACTCATTGATCTCTCTGTCTTCATATATTAAACAATCTGTCATATTTGAGTAATTAGCATTTTAATATCAGATGAATTTGTCTTCCAAACACTAAGACAGTTAATTTATTCTAGAGAATTAAATTTCATTTATTCTACAATATCAAGTGAAGTATTCTTATCATATTAATATCCATTATGTTTTACACAATTCTATTTTAGCAAAATTACCATAATGTTTCTGTCTATTTTACACTTTCAAAAGTAATCCTAAAAAAGTAATAATTTTTTTAAAATAATAAAAAAAAAGCCTTGAGTTTTATTTTTGCAAATGAGTACAGGTCAGCATTTTTAAACACGTGACTAAATATGTCAATTACACGTGAAATTGACACGTTCATTCACGTTTTTACACATTTGTTGAAGGGTGGAAAGAAAAAAAAAATAATTATTTATGATTTTATTTTAAAATTTTAATAATTATTTTAATTTCTAATGATATTTGTCTGTATTATACAAGGTTGCTAATGAAACTATTTTACTGTTGTAACAAATCTATTGTATAATCAATATTTTACAGGGGAATTATCCAGCATCTTCCCATTTATGTTAACATAATAATATCAGTTTTCGATTTATTGCGAGAAAATAATCTTTATTTTATTATCCATCAATATTCAGAATTTATCTTTTATTCGGCTATAAATTTTATTATTTTATTCATAAATATTTATTTTAACGATTTATCTCAATGATTATATTATCATCAATCAAGTTTTATATATATAACCTATATATAACACTTATAAATTTGCCAAATTTTTATATCTAAATATAGAAATTCTATTCATATTTACCATAATTTATATCGCACTTTGATGTCATATTAGCTTATTCAAAACTTTTCTTGGACAACTTTATCGATTTATCACCTTTTTTTTACAGTTTAAGTTTACGAAGATATAAAAAAAAGGAGAATCCCAAATGATCTCGATACAGTTGTTGGAGATATAAGAGTAATAACATATAAATCGACCATAACGCGACGTGAATCGAAATAAAAGTGATGTTAAAGGATTTCCTAAGGAAGTTGACTCATCTTGGATGATGCTATGCTGTATTTTTGACATGAGATCAGGCAAGAAACTAATGTAAAAAATTTTATTCTGTTCTTTATTATGCTAATAATATGTAGGATTATATCTCATTTTAAAAAAAGAAAATTTAAATTTTATCTTAAAAATAAATTGAAAAAATTGTAGACATAAGTTTCCACTGTCTGTCTGTCTTTCTTTAATCTAGAGAATGGTGTTATATAAATGAAATTCAAGACAAGATATGGAAAAGTTAGATACAGGAGGTACCGCTTAATTGTATACGAACTTCCTATGCAAACTGGAAGCCATGTTATTTCAATTCAAAAATTATGGCACTACTCTATTGTTAAAAGAAAAGTATGATTTACAGGGGCAAGCCACTAATTTGAAGTGAAGAGCGTAGTCTATATTTTAAAAACTTCTCGAAAAATGTAAATAAAAATATAAAAGATAATTTCAAAATAATATAACACCACGAGTAAGTATCGCGTAGCGATGTCGAAAATATTTTGGGCCCCACTAATAACGTGTTCCCGAGGCCCCGCAAAACTTCCAGCCGGCCCTGGTCAAGTCTACAATCAGTTCGTGTTTCCAAGCCTACAATATTCCCCATCAGTGGCCTGAATAATGGCAACTGATGGGGAATATAAAAAGAAAAACGACCGTTGCTTAGAGATTGTTTTGTATGAATTTTTGTTCTCCCATCCCCAAAAAAATTGTTCCGAAAAATGGCCGCTGTTTAGAAATAGCCATTGTTGGAAGGTGGTCGTTATTAGAGGTTCCACGTTATTTAATTTATGTCTCGAGAAACGATCATTTATAGTAATAATATTTGTTTATGATAAATTATGCCGAAAAGCCAATCTTTTTGGCTAAATTGTTGCCATTTTTATTGATTTTGTTAGATATCTCTCGCTTATAATTGATGTGCAATGTCATATCTGGAAAGAAGTAGACATAAATTTAATTAAATAGCATTTGAATATTTTAAATAATATTTAATGGATAGAATAATAAATTTTTATTTGTATTCCTACTCATCTAGTCACTGGTTAAGCATGTAAAGATCTGTTAGAGCGTGAATTTTGCATAAAACATTAATAAAAATACATGCACAGCATATTTTACAATGTGCAATGCATGTAGGAATATTAATTACTATGCAACTTTAAATATCTCTTAGTATTAAAGCAGATGTCTAATTTCATATCCTTATATTAAAAAAAAAAAACATTTTATGTAATATTTTATATTTTATATTAATATAATTAGAATTAACATATTTAGAGATTAATCGTGTTTTATTCAGTTTAATAATAATGATAATAGGAAGAAATACTTATAGCCATCTCATAGATATCCTACTGTTTATATGACTTCAAAATATATGATAATATGTCCTGAGAATTTTTATTTTAATAAAATAAATCTAGGTCCTACATCTTTATGGAATTTACTTACATTCGAGTATAAAAATTCACATTTGAAGGTTATCTCTATGTTAAATTTAGATTTTTCACTTCCTATTCAATTTTTACGAAATTATTTAAACGAATATATTACATTATAACCATATATTTAACGCATATAAATGTAAAAAAAATCAACAAACGGATACGGTAATTATCCACAGAATTGGACTTTTGCTTGCACGAAAATATAGTGACTTAAATACATGTTATGATTGATTAGTGCATGAACTTGTTTAGAATTCCAAGAAACTTTATTGGATTCATTCTGACCATATTAGAAATAAAATAATGCCTTTTTTTTTCAAACTAAAATTGAATTTATTTTTATATTTTGTTCTATTACTATTATCATTTAAAAAAGGGAAACTATTCAGTGTATGATCATAATGATAAATTAGTTCTTACTGATTAAGAGAAAACTTTTAAAATTAAAAATCTACATTACACTTTTTATGTAATTTTAATTTCTATAATTACATCAATATAATTGTAATTTAGTGATTTGAACGTTGAATATTACATATAGACAATAGATTTCATTTAACATTTATTTTAGTTATTTTAAAGTAATCATTTGCATTAGTTTTAGTTCAAATCATACATTAAACTATGAAAAATGGGATTATGCTAATTTATAAAGCCGTTTACATTTTTCTACTACAGCTGTTACTTGATAAACGACATTCTGGCATTATTTTTGCAGTTTTGTAGGATAAATTAATGAAGATATAGATTAAAGTTTTTCATTAGGATTTTTAAATGAGTAAAATCAATGCATCATGATTTTTAAGTAGAATTTCTTGTCATTATGTAGTGAAGATATTTTTGTGTAGAGTAGTTTTTATATTTCAATTTATTTAAAAATTGGCTTATGTTAAGAAACCATCTTCGAATCTGAAGGATTATATAGAAATTTTAATGGAATTTATAGAAAATATTAAACGGGGAGATCGAGGGGTGCTTATGTTGATTGTTTGGTACCAAAACAATCAGTTTTGTTAATTTAAAATGGAAATAAATATAATAACACATATCGCATGACTTTAATGACAAAGTATTCTTATATAAACAGAAATAGCAGAAAAATTTAAACTGATATCTCTCGGAAACACGTGTCGAAAAGTGTGAAGCACAGACTAAAGATAATTGCATACGAATTCAAAATAACTGTAATTTCAATCATTTCTAGTAAAAATAAGAAATGTATTCTATTCCTCTTTTGGAATTACACAGAGTATAAATTATACTTTAATTTATATAATTTATAAATTAACTTATAAATTCAAAATGATCCATTTTCTTTACTCCATTCAACGATTTTAAAAAGTTAATGAAAAAGAATGGTGTAAAAAGTTAAGTAACTAAGAATTTTAAGGTAATTGAGAAATATTCTCCGAAATACGACAAAGCCAAGTGACTTGGTACCAACGAATTTGCCTTGTGCAGCATCTAGTTTCAAAATTCTGGTATTAAACATTACTCAAAACGTCTGGGTGGACGAGGTGATTAAGGCGTCAGTCTACTTTTCTGGGGATCCGGGCAATTCCCATGGAATTTTTCACGGGTTGTCTGTCCCGAATATATTTGGCACCTTTCTTACCACCCAACCTTCTCTAATACGGATCTCTCCGAACCCACACTGAGCACGGAAAATGGCCCTCTTCGTACTCCCGGGACGAAAAGAGTTTAAATATATTTAATTTAATCTCGAATTAGTCTATATTTTTGAATTTAAAATATTGAAACAAATTTCCCATCAGCATTTCCAATTTAAAAAAAAAAAAACCATTATACATTTGGCATCGTATTAAATCCACACACATCCAGATA